CACTATCATTGATTCTAGTTTACAAATATTCGTTTTTTGATCTCTTAGTGTGCATTTTTGTTCATCTAGTGTAGTCTGCAGCTCACACAGTTTTCGGCGTTTAGTTTCAAGTTCGTTTGAAAGCGTGTCTCGCTCGAGTATCAACTTTTGTTCTGTCCTAGCCGCAGATGATTTGATATTGGTCAATTCCGTATGAGTGTGTTTTATATCCGATTCTAATCGTCTAACATTATCGCGCAATCGTTCTTGTTCTCGTCGACTATCGTCAAGTTGTTTTCGAAGAGAGCACAGAGACTCTTCTTTACTACTCAAATTGCATTGAAGTTTAGTGATTTCGTTGTTCAGTTCATTAACTTCCTCCTAAATATACATCATATTAGTTCTACATTGCTATTTTCACTTCAAGTAGGATAATTATCAGCAAAATGTTAAGTGGAATACTAGAAAATCGAAGCCGAAACAAATGTTATAATGGTTTCAAAGTATATATTTTATTTGTGACTATTACTCACTAACCTTAGCATCACAAAGTTTTACTTTAGCGCAGTTCTTATCTTTTTCTAGTTTCTCGATCTCAGTCAACAGTTGTTGTTCTTTACGCTTTAGGCATCGCAACTCTTCAGATATCCGATCGTTATCATCCTTCAACTTATCATTTTCGCCTTTGAGTTTGGCTTCAAGCGTTTTAGTTTCCTTGTATTTAGCCCATAACGAGTCATAGTTAGACGATAATGAATCAAACATTTCCTTTTGCTTACACATTACTTGTTCAACCCATTTTCCAATATCATTCAATTGTTCGCGTAATTCATCTTTTTCAGCCACAACGGTATCGTATAATACTAACTTTTTTTCTAACTCACAAGTACGAACGCGCATTCGTTCAATATCATCTCGATCTAAGTCTTCCATACAATTCTATAAAAAATAATTAAAGTATTAAATTAATTTGGTATTGCAGTTTGCTAAAAATTCAATATTATTAAAATTATTTATACAATAAAACCAATTTTTTGTCGTTCAATCAATAACTATCATTATTGTTTTTCATTTTTTCTCACTCGACTTTTCGATTAATTTTATGGTTTACTCATAAAAAAAGTTGATAGTTCACAAAAAAATTCCAAATAAAAAGGTATTGTAAAATATACAAAAATTTATATGTTCTTTTATTTGTACATTTAAATTCATCATCTGTTATTTTCATTAGTCACACAATGATGAACTAAGGAAACTCGTCGCCAAGTGGATAAATTTATACTGAAAAAGATGAGCAGACGCCTAACTTGTTTAAAGAATTTGTATAATTTTATTAACATTTTGTTTTATTCGTTTTTGGAATTGAGTGTCTATACAAATTTTTCCACTTAACATATTTTCCTGGACAATCATTTGATTTTTCATTTTTAGTGAATTTCTAATAAATGTAGGTAATGAATTTGTATGTACAAGTTCTGGGTTGAAATGTGGGAACGATTTAAAACATTTTCATCAATAATCAACACTATTGTGGCATTTTGCATGCTACAAAATTGTTGTATTCAGATTAACTATACCTCTCATATTAATTGTAAACTCTTGCTATAAAAGATAGATGCATAATATTTGTAAAACAATTATCCTGTAGTCTCTAAAAATTTTTTTGGCTTTCTTTTTTAATGATTTACTTATTCTTTACGTTAATGAAAAAGTTATATACTTACTGATGGAGACACATTCATTGTGATGAATTTTATTTTTACAATTATTTATAATAATATTTTAAAATTTTTAAAAATTCTACATTTGTATATTAATTCAATTAAAATACTGATGAAAAAAATCCATGGAGAGTATACAATATACTTAGCCAGTAAGTAATTCGCCTAAAAAAAGATTAGTGAATTCATTATAATAGGTGATACAATACTTTAATAGGTGACGATTACTATTCTAGTGTTACTGAAAAAATTAAAAAAGTCTCGAAACTAAACAAAGGCAATTATAATAAGAAAAGCCCTTTCTTCAATTATGTCACTAAATTTATCTAAAGAACAGTATATGGTGTTACGTCTCCTATCATTAGAGTATACATTTATTTTGTCGGTCAATATGCCCAATATACATATATTCAAAATAATTCGATAAGGATGATTCGAAATTTTATAGATTTATACATAAAATTCTAACCTTATATTTTACTCTCCATTCTACCACTATCGATATCTTGTACGGTTTGAAAGAACATTTAATGTTACATTTTTATTTTATTTTTTATTTAATATACATAAAAAAAAATTAATACAAAGATTTTATTTCAATTTAATTGTATGTGATATATTCCTAATATAAAATTTTATATGAATATATATAACCCACTCAATTAACATAAAGAACAAATATAATTTAAACATTTTAGCTTCGATGCGAAGCGGAGAAGGTATTAATTTTACTATGATGTGTTTTTTTTTTTTTTGTCTGTTGCCATTTTTTCTCAGCTCTCACTGGACCGATTTCTTTCAAAAATACGTCAAAAGATCACAAATTGTATCTAGTCGAAGATATTACCCTTCAAAATTGAAAAAAATTCCCTCGTTCCCCGTAAATGGGGGAAACCTCCAAAAAAATTACGAATTTAAAAATTGCTAATTTTTTCAATTTTTTCAATTTTTTGTACTTAAAACTGCCATAACTTTTTCAAAAATGAACAAATAAAAATAATATTTTTTTATACTAAAACCTTAGATATTTACCTTTCATTTGTTATCATTTTTTTGAAAATCTATCACTTAACGAGCTCATTGGGGGGGATTTAAAATAGCAACTTTTTTACAAAAATTAACTTTTTCAACTTAATTTTTGAAAATGTTCCGGAAATACTGCGTCCTTTAAACATATATCAAATTAAAGCAAAAATTTGTCCCAACATCTAATCTTCTATGTGCAAATGGCTGTCGAAAATTTAAAAAAAAATGTAATGTTTGCGATAAAAATTATCTTTTATCGGGATGTTTTTTGTACTTAAAACTGCCATAACTTTTTCAAAAATGAACAAATAAAAATAATATTTTTTTGTATTGAAACTTTAGATATTTGTCTTTCATTTGATATAATTTTTTTTGAAAATCGAACACTTATTCTGCTCACTGAGGAGAATTAAAATAGTAACTTTTTTACAAAAAGTAACTTCTTCAACTTAATTTTTGAAAATGTTCCGGAAATACTGCGTCCTTTAAACATATATCAAATTAAAGCTTATTTTATGTACTATAAAATGAAAAAAAAAAATTTTCCCGACGACCTATCTTCTATGCGCAAATGGCTACCGTATTCAAAAAAATGCTATTTTAACAAATTTTTTTTTTTAATTAAACACTATCTACAGATTTGCATCGAAGCGTTTTTTATGATAGTGACTTTAATATCTGTCAGATATCATCTATACTGGACCCAACTATGCCACGACCCCACTATGCCGTCACCTCATTGTGCTGGGTTTTTTTAGAAATGATTTATATAGCAACATGTTACAAAAAAATTTGTAATATTATAGTCTAGTAGTAGCACACACAAATAGAGTAAAAAAAAATTATTAAATTACAAAGTAAAATGATTACATTTTGTAGTTGAAACCTATCATATCAATCTTAATTCGTCAATAAATACTTTGAAAACATTAGAAATTAATGATTTTAATTGTCTTTATGGAGAACATGGAAAAACTAACTGTTTAATTGATAAATTGAAAATTTTTTTCAATTTTTGAGGGTAATATCTTCAACTAGATACGAATTGTAGTATTTGACGTATCGTTGAAAAAAGTAGGCCAAGTTAGAGCAGAGAAAATAAATGATAGTCAAAAAAATATATCTTTTCAGCTTTACATCGAAGCTAAAACTTAAAATATAGTAAAATAATTTTAATACGAATAAGAAATTTTTTCTTACAAGGGGCGACTAAAATTATTGAATCTAAATGAGATAAAAATCAAACGAGTTAAAAATTTATACTAACTTAAAAAGAATTAAGAAAAAATGCAAAAAATTCATTGCCATACGCGGGTTGGAACCTCGTACCCCAAGCGTGTAAAACATAAATTTAAACAACTTGGCAACCGTACGTCGCTAGCGTCGGATGAAAAAATTGGTTATTTAAGCTAGTTCAAATTTCAAAGTTATTTTTCTCGTCTTAAAAGAAGCAAACAAATTTAAATAAGTTTAACTTTCTATGCTATATTAATTTTTTATTTATATAATATTTATGAAANATTTATGTATAATATTTATGAAAATCTGTACTCCCTTGTCAGGTATTTTAAAATAAAATAAAATACAAAACCCAGAATTTTAACACAAAAATAGCATATTTTTGAATACGGTAGTCATTTTTACCATGAAGACAAATCCAGAGGTCAAATTTTTTTTTTTCACATTAAAGTATATTACATAAGCTTTAATTTAAGATATATTTAAAAGTGTCAGTATTTCCGGAATACTTTCAAAAATTAAATTGAAAATATCGTAGTAACAATACGCATGTTTAAAGTTTTGACCCCCCTTGTTAAAGGGGTATGATCCGATTTACAAAAAAAGCGTGCCAGATGAAAGGGGTATATCAATATTTATTATAAAAAAATAATAATATAGATCCATACATTTTTCCAAAAGTTATATAAAATATAAATTAAATAATATAACATATAAAATCGAGATTTTTTTCACGGAAATCGTACGTTTTTCTTTAACTTTGATGTCCGTTTTCACCACGAAGACAAGTCCAGAGGTCAAATTTTTTTTTTTCAAATTAAAGTATATTACATAAGCTTTAATTTAAGATATATATAAAAGTGTCAGTCTTTCCGGAACATTTTTAAAAGTTATGTTGAAAAAGTTAATTTTTTGTGAAAAAGTTGTCATTTTGAATCCTCTTCTGTGGGCAGGGAAAGGGTCAAATTTATAAAAAAAATATATAAAATGATAGGTAAATATCTAAGGTATCTATAAAAAAAAATAATTATTCCGATTTTGTTATTTTTAAAAATGTTATGGCAATTTTAAGTAAAAAAAATTGAAAAAATTTCGAAAATTAGCGATTTTTAAATTCGTAATTTTTTTGGAGGTTTCCCCCATTTACGGGGAACGAGGGAAATTTTTTCAATTTTGAAGGGTAATGTCTTCGACTAGATACGATTTGTGATCTTTTGACGTATNTCGTAATTTTTTTGGAGGTTTCCCCCATTTACGGGGAACGAGGGAATTTTTTTCAATTTTGAAGGGTAATGTCTTCGACTAGATACAATTTGTGATCTTTTGACGTATCATTGAAAGAAATCGGTTCGGTGAGAGCTGAGAAAAAGTGGTAACAGACACAAAAAAAAAAAAAAAACACATCTTAGTAAAACCAATACCTTCTCAGCTTCGCATCGAAGCTAAAAAATGTACAAGAATAAACTCAAAATTACTGAAAAAACGGATAAATTTTAGAAGAATAACATTAAAATAGCTCTACACCAATTCAACTTATGACCTTGAAAATTTGTATTAAAACCCTTAAGTATGCTATTAATGTCTTTTGCTAAAAAAAAAATTTAAGTGACTTTTAAAAAATGATACCTTTGGCCGCCTTAATCGCCGTTTCATTCCACCTTGCGCCGTTATCGCCCGTGGATATCCCGCGGTCGCACAAGCTCCTTCTAAGCCATCGCCCCACTGTAAACCGGACCGCTATACACACGTGTTATCGTCGTGGTGTAAAGTCTTACAAATGCCTAGCGTCGAATACCCGCCGCAATAATACGCTTTACTAGTCATCTCCGTGACACCTCCCCGACCGTTTTCGGTTATATAGCCTTCGTGATACTTTACTGTCTCCGGTCGATTTGTTTTTTTTTGTTCCGACTTTTCTTCTTTGAAAAGCTACGTGGATACTAATTGTACACCAACTGTTGATCGTTAACTAGTGCAAATCTTTTTATTGTTGGTTGTTTGTTTTTTTTTTATATTTTTGCGAAAATAATACTTTATTCAAACAATAAACCACTATAATAGTTACTACTAGTTATAGACTTACTTTATTTTTGGGTCTTTGTACCACACATTTCCTATCATCGCGACATCACTTTTTTATTATTGAGACAGGCATTGTTATTTATTAATATTGTTATTGAAACTATTATTTATCCGAGATAAATTTTAATGGGAATATGTTACTATTACTGATAATATGATACATTGTTCCTTTAATGTTTTACTATAGGTTGTTACATTTTAAATACGCAGTGTTTTAAACGTGTCTAAAACACTAAAAATTTCCATTATATTATTTTACATATAGGACGTTCTTAACTGTTTACAAATTTTTTAACACATGTTTTTAACAATACTGACTATTATATAATGTCTCTGTTTTTATATTTAAGAATATTATCCAGTTAAGAAAATTACTGTTTAATAATAGCTTTTGAACCATCATCACAGAATAAATGAATACTTTTATATATAAACAAGAAAAAGAAAACAGCTGAGAAATGCTTAAATATTGAATTAGTCAATTATATTGTAATTTAATATTTGATACTTGATTATTATTTTTAGAGTAATATTATTTTTCACTTTATTATATTATTAATTTTATTTTATTGATTCATACTGTAGTTATTGAATGACTCATAATATAAACTTCTAGTAATGAAGATAATTTGTATGATGAGAGGTACTGTTGTCTTAAGTTCACGTGCCTAGCAGTAACTAAAAATAATAACTGTGATGTTAGTTATGTTCATTATGATACACAAACATTTTTTGGACGCAAGATTTTTAATCAAATAAATTAAAATTGTAAGACCCTCAATTAATCAATAGCATTCCAACTTTGTACTTCACTGCTACTTAAAAATAGAAACTGACCGCAACATAGAAAAAGTAAGACTGATAAAATCAAACTGATGTAGTTCCAAGTGGCTTGATCACCATCGTTTTCAATAAACATCATAAGAGCGAAATGTGCAGAGTTCATTCCAGCACTCCCAATTAAATCTCCCATTGATGTAATTGCAGCTACAAAATTTGGCGACATTTCAATTTGGGTCACTCGAAATCCTGAAAACACTGCACCCGAAGCAGCATATGCCAACACCATCATAGCATAGAACGTGTGGTTTTGTTTAACTAATGGTGCAGCTAATAATATACACGCTGGTATTATAGTTCCTATGAATGTGAATATCTATACAACATAATATAAAATTGATTTTTTTTTTAGTTTTTAAAAAAAAATAAAATGTATACAATATTTGAAATAATAAAAACTAATTTTTTTTCTACAACGTGTTCTACTCATCATAACCCACTCAATTACTCGCAGAATAAAAATAGTTTTGGCATTTGTTTTAGGTTACTTTTAGTTACATATTGTTCTCAAATTATAAGGTATGTAATGTTTTTTAAATTCAGTCCTTGTGCTTTGTAAGTGTGTCAGCTTTGTTTTTTTCAAATGGAAATAATATTTTGAATTTAATAAAATGTTTGAGGTTTTTTTTGATAATAAATGGCTTTTGAATTTTTAATATAATTTCATGCGTTTATTATATATAGCATTTTTAAAATTTGAGTTTGTAAGTTAAAATTATTGTATAATTTACTAGTTTAATACTAATTGGGGTGGGATAATTTTAAAGAAAAGAAGAATAATTAAGTAATGATTATAAGTAACAATTAAATGTACACGGGGTTGTCGACGTAAAAAGAAATAACAAAAGATCGAAGTAATAACAATAGGACAGGTGCGAGATCGGTACGTCAATTTAAGGATGGTGGTGGACGGCTAAATTAAAATCTACAATCACTAAGTTACACGAGTAGGGACGATTACATAACATATAAATGTACAAAGCTGAATTACTCATGCGACATAAAAACGGTAACTCTGACTGACTAGACAAGGTGGAGGCTGGGGACATTCACAGCTTTAATTAGCAATACAGAGACCGGCCGATGTTTTTTCAGATAAGTAACCAGTAACATAGCATACAAGCTCACGTGCGAATATTCTATTTCACTTTTATATATGTATCGTTTTAATATGGTCTACTACATAAAAAACCATAATTGTTGAGTTCGTTATTAAACAAATAAGACTAGTGAGAATGTATCACCTTCCCACGGCTTAACATCCCCATAGAGGAAAAGGTGCCAGGACAAATTTTTTTTTGACCTTATAGTATTTATCATAATCTTTAATTTGACATATATTTAACACTCGGAGTATTTCCGGAACATTGTTAAAAGTTAAATTGAAAAAGTTCTTTTTTTTACTCGCATCATTAATGTTTAATTATTATAACATTATTAAAACCCTTTTGTATAAAGTAAAATGGCCTGATTTAGAAAAAAAATACTTCGTCTGAAAGGTGTGTATAAAAAGTATTTTTCAAAAAAAATTGTATTGATCCACACATTTTTCAAATAGTTATAACAATTAAGTTGTAAAATTAAAATATGAAATCGAACATTTTAACATCAAAATTGCATGTTTCTTAACTACGGCAATCATTTACACATAGAAGATGAGTCGTCAGGACAATTTTTTTTTTTTTTGAACTTGTAGTACATAACATAACTTTTATTTTAACATATTCTTGAAGCTAGTACAGAAGTTTCTATTTTGAATCCCCTTCTGTGGGCAAGTAAAGGGTTAGATGTTCACAAAAATATATCAGAGCTGAGAAAAAGTGGCGATGGACATAAAAAAAACACATAATAGTAAAATTAATACATTTTCAGCTTCGCATCGAAGCTAAAATGTACAGATTTGTATAATCGTATTAACCTTATGCGCAATTATTTTTGCCCGCCTCAAAAAAATTATATTTTTAAAATCTAAAATACTTGCTCTACGATATTAATGTATCAATAAAATATTTTATTATGGTTAAAGTAAATAACACACACCGATTACAATGTACACACTTATAGTATTACTAATCAAGATTTGAAAAAAATAGTAATTATGTATTTAAAAAAAAATTGTGCTATTTTCTTTAAGGCTAACATTAATTATGTTAATGACATCCTAAGCGATGTTAGGTAACTAAAGCACACCCCAATTTACTCCTATGTTGGTCATTTATATAATATCTTTAGAACTGTTTTCTGTAAGCAACTCTATTAATAAGTAATTTCAAGAATTTAATTATTATTTTAGCTTCGATGCGGAGCTGAGAAGGTATTAATTTTACCATGATGTGTTTTTTTTTTGAAAATCTAACACTTATTCTGCTCATTGGGGGGGATTTAAAATAGCAACTTTTTTACAAAAACTAACTTTTTCAACTTAATTTTTGAAAATGTTCCGGAAATACTGCATCCTTTAAACATATATCAAATTAAAGCTTATTTTATGTACTATAAAATGAAAAAAAAAAATTTGTCCCGACACTTTTTCTTCTACATTTAAACGGCTGCCGTAGTTAAAAAAACGTTAATTTTGTGTTAAAATTTTCGATTTTAAAGTTTCAACTTAAAAGTGCTATAACGAAAAATGTATGTATCAGCACAATTTTTTTTTTCTAAATACATTATAAGTACATCCTTCATTTGACATACTTTTTATTAAAATTGGACAATTTCCCCATATATAGGGGGCGATTAAAACTTGAAATATTGTATAAAAAATAGAACCTTTTCAACTTAACTTTTGAAAGTGTTCCGGAAATACTGCGTCCTTTAAACATATATAAAATTAAAGCTTATTTTATGTAATATAAAATGAAAAAAAAAATATGTCCCGACGACCTATCTTCTATGCGCAAATGGCTACCGTATTCAAAAATATGCTATTTTTCTATTAAAATTCTAGGTTTTGTATTTTATTTTATTTTAAAATATCTTATTAGGAGAATACATGGTGAAAATAGCTACCGTACTTAAAAATATGCTATTATTGTGTTAAAATTCTTGGTTTTATATTTTATTTTATTATAAGGGGATTACACTGATTTTCATAAATATTATATCAATCTAAATAACATAGTATAAAAAATTAATCATATTTAAATTTTTTTGTTTCTTTGAAGTCGAGAAAAATAACTTTAAAATTTGAACTAGCTAAATTTCCATTTTTATTAAGTGACGAATGAGACGTACGGTTTTTGAGAGGGTAACACTTGGGTCATTCACGACTGTGGCAATGAATTTTTTTTTAATTCTTTTTGAGTTAAAAAAAATGATTAACTCATTTGATTTTTATCTCATTTAGATTCAATAACTTCAATAAATATCAAAGATTCCATTACTGTAGTTTTCTCTCGTGAGAAGAAATTCATATTAACATTATTTTACTATGTGGTTTTTTTTTTGTAGCTATCATTTATTTTCTCAGCTATCATTTGACGTACTTTTTTGACAATTTTTTTTTTTAAATTAAACACTATCTACAGATTTGCATCGAAGCGTTTTTATGATAGCGATTTTAATCACTGTCAGATATCATCTATACTGGACCCAACTATGCCACGTCCTCACTGTGCCGCGACCTCGCTGTGTTGGGTTTTTTTTTTCTAAACATTTTAAATAAAAATTCTTTTAAATATAAATTATAAAATATTCAACCCAAGTTTCATTTTATTAATATTTGAATTATGCTAATGTTTAAAAGATTTTGAATTATTTATGTGATTACTTTATGGAATTATTCATATCTATCTAGATTTTATTTTTGGTGAACTATGCTTAACCCTGAATATGAATAGTATTATAAGCTGGGCCGAAATCACTATTTTCTGATATCCAATAATCCGATATTTATTGTCGGTATTAAATTAATAACCGACCACCTTATGATTCTGATGAATCAAAGTCATATGGTTTTTAAAATTACTAAGGTGAAAAAAATATTACTTTTCTTATGTTTGTGACACTGAACAATTTTTTTATTTGAATATACGTGGAGAGATATCCTGTTGTAAACATAACTAAAATTTGTCCAATAGGAGGAACAGCTGAAATCAGACCATTTTCTGCAACTAAAAATCCTAAAACAGACTTTACGTAAATTGGCATGTAATAAATCAGAACTGTATAAAACACCGTTGAACCGTAATTAGCCAATAACATTGACCAAACTGGCAAAGAAGTAATTATATACCACCATGGTACTGGTAACTTTAATTTGGGTTTGAAATTTGTACTTAAATAATCAAGTTCTTCTTCATTGACTCTAGGATCGTCCCATGGACTACTATAAAACCCATATAGCCAATAAACACTCCATAATAAACAAAGTACCTGCAATTTTTATTAGAAATAATTAATTTAATACCATTTTTCAGTTTGAAGTTTTAGTATAAACTGGTTTATATGTCATCGTCGGGGCCAGGACTTCGGCGTTAAACAGAAATGTTGTAGTCAATATACATTAATAGATTTATGATAAAGTAATTAATAAATAAAGTAAATTATATCTATTAAAAAGTACATCTTTAGTCTACAATATAATTCAATAAAAAATCCGGTTTTAGAAGGTTTGAGTTTTTTAATCAACTATTTAATTTACAAGATAGTGAGTTCTGCATTGCACTTAATAGAGGAAAAATTAATCAAGTTCCACTATATTATATACAGTGACAATAGTATACTCGGTGAGAATCAGCATTCATGTTAGTGGCGTATCCAGAAATTTTAAAGAGAGTGTGCTTTTTAAATGCAGTATACGTATATTTGAGGTAAAAGATGTAAAAAATTACGAAGAAAACATCACCAAAAATTATTAATTAAAACCCCTCATTCATTGAAAAGTCCTGCACACAACAAACCCAGGTTTGATAAAGTTTAAATGATTAAAACCAATTACTTAATAACTAAAGGCATGTAATCAGTATCACAACTACTAAACTGGGAGTTCATTTGCGGAAGTGCCCGTTGTCCCCTTTTAACCCCGGAGTTGCTTACTTCGCTTGTATGTGTCATATATGAATGGATCAATTTTCATATGAATTTCTAGGTGTTAAAACTAATGATTCTTAAATGTATATAGATACCAAAATATGTGTGCCTTGAAAACCCTTTCTTTTATTTTTTTTACCATCACGGTCGACGTAATGTTGAACGCCCTGGAACTACCGTGAGGTATTGCTTCAGGGCACCCAACGACACGCAGTGTTTCCAAGCGCGTTCACCCATCCAAGTACTAATTACGCCTGACATTGCTTAACTTCAGTGATCGGACGAGAAATGGTGTATTCAACGTGGTATGGTCGTTGGCACCTTGAAAACTCTACACACCCTATTTTAGCGATACTTTATGTAATCAATTATGTGGTCTAGTTGTAAAAGAACAAAATATATTTTTTTAATTTTACTTCTTCCTTACTAACTGAAAGCTAATTCATCCAGTAAAAGTAAAATTACGAGACTTTTTTTGAATATGCGATCTTTTGAAAATGGAGAACTCAATTATTTTTTAAACCATAACAATAAATAAAATCAAGACATTGAATACCAATTAACAGTTAATTGATATTTTGTATATTATGGATTAAAATGGATTGTACTAAAAATGCAAAAGAATATTCCTTTAAATTTTCAATATGGGTAAGAGGACTTATATTTTACCCTTCTCTTTCTACAAAAATTAAACTAATGGTATTGGGTCAAAAAGAGGCAAGTGCAAACAGATAGGTTTATTATAAATACAATTTTTTCAAAGTGGTCTCTAAATAATAATTCTATATTTTAATAAGAAAACTTCTTTTTAATTACTCCATTGAGTACTTAAAAAGATAAAATGATCTTTCAATTACCCTATTCGTTTGCATTTTTTTGCTTAATCCTATGTTTTATTTACAAACCATTATAGCAAAGAAACTATGCTGAAAATCTGAACTGGAATTTTTATAAATCATTCCTGGAATGACTGTACCCAAAATAATGCCACCTGGTAAGCCCGTATTTATAACAGAGTACATGTAAGAAAGTTCTGTTGGCGGACACCAGTTGGATAACATTACGTTCATAAATGGCCACCAACAGCCTCCCATGAGGCCGTTTATAGTAGCTATGATTGCTGAAGGGACGAGCAGACCAGCTTGAAATGCAAATGGCGCTATAAGAGAGGTGACAGCCAGCGAAAAAACAATTAGGCCGAGAATAGGCGCTGGACTCATCCGATCGGCCCAAATTCCAGATGGTACTTGAGCGATCACATATCCCACTTGGTAAATGATATTGAGTAACGAATGCACATTTTGTTTTTTAAATGAATTCTTTGTTTCTACCAACATTAGATTGAAATGGGATCTGGATGCCATTGTAATATAAACACCTAACATCAATGTGATCATAACTTGAGTACGAGATGAAATACAAGTTCGAAACGTCATGGTATAACTTAAATCTTATAATAAGATAAAAAATTCAATTGATTCGTATTAAACAATGGTTTTGCAGTATGTTAACTAAACCTTGACGACCATTTATAGTAAATACTTGTAAAGTGGGTAAATCCATTATAATGGAAATATGCTTAATTAAGAAAGAAAAAACATTTCTCAATAAATGTATTAAATAAATTTGTTAATTAATTCAATGTAAAAGTAAGATTTTAATGGATGCACAATAATAAAGAATTTTTATAATAATAAAAATTTTTTTGCTAAACAAATGTGTTATAAAATTATTAAAAATTAATAAACCAGCGTATTTTTCAACAGGAATAATTATTCGTAGTTATTTTTATGTGACTTTATATCTTTATGGAATATTAAAATACGCTTTTATACATATGATACAGGTTTAATTATTATTATGAAAAATGTGTTATTATTACAACAAAAAATTGTAGATTTTTAGAATAAATCGTTATTTGAAAAAATAAAATGGTTGTTATTTTTATATAATTATCGTGCATATTTTTAATTACACATGTTATTAATAGTTGAATATTTCGTATAATACACAAACAATCAGGTATGTAACATGTATTTAACTATTTATTATACGCCAAATTTTTAACACGCAAAGTTTTACAGAATGATACATGTTGTGCCATGACACTCCTAAATTAATGGTTGGCGTCAATAGCTTATGTAAGGATCATGTGAACCAATAATAATGCTTAACCTAAAATAAAGTATATAACCTTTAAATGATTAATATATATATTTTAATGCAATTGTAGCCTTATGAGCTAAGGGATACAATGAGAATACTCTCTGGTGTTATGGCCGATCTGCCTCCTTTATGAATCACGTAACTTGGTTATCCGAGCCTATAAACATTCTCCATTTCATAGAATCCTCGGCATGAGACCGCATTACTTGGTATTAAACCAATTAAAAATCATGTCACTAAAATGAAACATTTTTTAATCATCATCGACCAAAATATACTTTGTTAAACCCAATTTTTATGCTGATTTCAAACGTACAGTTAAATTTCTTTCATAGCCTCTTCTTTGATGTGATGGATCAACTTATTAGTAAAAACGAGCATTTACCTTTAAAAATTATTTTAGTTTTTAAAATGTGAATGATTGAATTATTTACTAAGTGGTTTTTTTGGGCGTTTATTGTTTCCGCCAAATCTAAATAAGGTAGGTTTTTCGTTTCCGTCAAACCGATAGTTTATACCTGTCTACAAATAAATGCTTGAGAACCACTGATTAAAATATTTGCTAAAATAACCCGATAATAATTATCTACTTTACATTTAATTGAACTTTTTCCTATTCTATTATTGTTAGTTAGCAGTGCATTGATCGATATATCAATAAAATATTTTGCCATCTGTTCTTTTTTATTTTACTTTTTTAATTAAAATGTCATTTGAATATATCAGAAGTAAGCGGGGCCAACAAATGACTTTATTAAATAATTTTAAGTTTCGTTTTGTAATAAAGCAATACAACCGGTTGACATACGTTGGCGTTGTTTTGTAAAAGAATACAAAAGTACCGTTCACGTGAATGAGCTTGATGAAATTATTGATAAAACTGGTATTTTAAAAATTTTTAGTAAAATTGATTAAAGCTGACCTCATTGTTCGGACGACGCTGCCGGTCGTCTAAACACTACTCGTGTGTGTATGGCGTACCCGCATATACTGTGGGAAACTACTAATGTTCGCACACCACAAATGTATTATAACTATTTTACTCTTTAAAAATTTGGACTTTTAATAAAAATCTAGAATTCAGGATATACAATTAATTTTCTTCTTTTAATTAATTTTAGTGGGGGGTGCGATCGTCCCATCGTCTCAGCCACGAGCCGCCACTAATTATATTATTACATATATTAGATATTTTTTAAACTTAATATTAATATTTGAATTTTATTTCAATGTTTTGATGACTTTATTTTCTAATAAACTATATTTTTATTATTTATTATTAAAATATACAGAGTGATTTTTTTATCATAACCCACTCAATTACTTACAGAATAATAATAATTAAAATTTTTTTTTTTATTATTATCTTTAGTTACACATTATGCTTGAATTATTAACTACGTAATACTTTTTAAGTTCATCCCTTATGCCTGGTAAGGATGTCAACTAGTGCTGAGCACCACATCCGGATTACCGATCCGGATTGAAACAAAAGTGACAATCCGTTCAATCCGGATTAAAGTATCCAATCCGGTTTAATGTAAACAAATCTTCATGGGTTATTCTATTATAGCGAGAATTGTTATTGTTCAGATTGTGCTATTAATAAATATCGTGTTGTGCTCTACGTGATATCACATATCACGTAGATATCAATTGTACTTTTATCAATATTTAATAGCAGGCAAAAAGCATTACGTTAGTAGTACTGTCTTAGTACGTATCGTATTAAAAAATGTCTCAAATTTGGGCGAGTTTTACGAAAGGCGTTGATGAAGAGAACAAACATTTAGTTTTTTGCAATGCTTGTGGAAAAAGTTTCAAAACTTCAGGGAGTACAGGTAAATTACAATAACATAATAATATGTAATAGGTGTAATAAAAATGAAAAGATTTTATTCTAGAAATCTAAAACAATAACTTAAATATCTATAATATACGATTTTTATCCATTTTATTTAATAATTACGAGTATTAATTATCATTTACCCGTATTTTTAAGTAAATTATTTATTGTTTATTGCTTTTCAATGATTAATGTTGACATTTTTTTAAACTCTTTAACTTGATTACCTAACACAAAAAATATATTTGTTTTGAAAAATTCTTATATTAACTTTTTTAAATTAAAATTTTTTTATTAACTCAAAATACAAAACAAAAAACCTAAAAAATATTATTGGTGAAATTTTTTTTTTAGACCACCCGTTCTTAACTTACGGGCAGTATTAAAGAGGCGCGTGACGTCACGGATTCCATTACCGAGGCGGCGGCCATACAATTCTTATGGAGCGCTATATTTAATTTGTTATAACTATGGAAACATCAATATATCTTATTTTACTTATGAGGCATTTTGAAAGTAAAACATATTATGTTTTATTCAATATAATTTTCCCCGATTTTCGATTTTTTTAATTGTTAAAATAACTGATACTATAAGTTGATGTGAAAGGCATTGCGGTGTGTCCTAGAGGAAGAAGTTGTTNCGAAAGGCATTGCGGTTTGTCCTAGAGGAAGAAGTTGTTCCTTTTTTATGAGTAATTTTTTGTTAAAAAAATAATTAACTCATCTGGTAAAAGAGTGGTCCACAGCATCCGTAACTGAGATGCTGGACCAAAACCAATATTACCATAGTGTTACTCCATTCAAGTCCTATAACTTTTTCCTTTATGACTTTTTGATTAAAAACGTATTTTTGTCATAATTATAATGCGTCTATTATAAAGAAATGGTATTCTAAAAGTAGCAATAGAACTCTTGAAATTTTTTTTTCGTAAATTTTTTTTTGTGCAATTTAAAGTACTATCAATATAGATAAGATCTGAGAGGTTTCAGATTTTTCCAAATCATATTTCATTATTTTTTTTGTGATTTTTTGCAAGATACATAAAATCCCATGTTAATTAAATGGGAAAAANAAAAAACCCCTGTTAATTAAATGGGAAAAAGTAAATGGCTAAATCACGGGTTTAAAATGTATCAATCGATTTGAAATTTTGACACGATTTTTTTTTATTTTTTCGAATCAATTGCGGGGGTGCACTCATCGGAATTCTGCCAAAGAGTTTTTTAACGACCCCTCTAATGTTCCCATTTTAATAAAGTTTTTAATTAATGCTTAAAACTTAATAAGTGCTACCTTTTTAAAGAGCTCAGCTTTCGTATAATAAATACCAATCATAAAAATAAAAAAAAAATAAAAATTTTTAAATAGGATTTTGGCCAGGTTTTTGATAAATTGGAACACTGTGCGCCCGTAAGTCAACAACGAGTGGTCTAAAAAAAATGTCATCACCAAAATTATTGTTCTTTTCTTTAATTAAAAAAAAACTTGTTTTTTGGTTGGGTAGTCCTTTAAGTGGTTGACAATATTATTATTTTAAATACCTATTTGTAATTTTGAATAATTTGTATTTGTACTTATATACCAGGCACATTATGGAATCACTTGAGAATTAAACACAATATGGATGGACTTTCTCGTGATAAACCAAAAAAAAGGTAACTATTTTATTTGGGTATATTTATATTACCAATATGAGCCATAAATTATTTTGATGTATTCAACATATTACATAATTCACAATTTCTATGTAAAAAATAAAAAAAAATTTATCATACATTTAAATTTAAAACTGAATTATGCTTTTAGATCATTAGAATGATAGTGATCAGCAAAATAATAGCATGAATACTGAACCATCAACATCTACATCAGTATCAGAATCTGGAAACTTAGGGGTATTAATGCAGCCAAAGATTACTGAAATGTTCTTTTCGCCGTCTGTATCAGCCAAAAGACAAGAGCAAATTACAGACAGCCTTGTAAAATTTATAGCCAAAGATATGCTGCCACTATCAACAGTGGATGGTGTTGGTTTTATTGAATTTATGAAGAAGATATCACCAAATTATGAAATACCAAGTCGGTTTACAATCAAAAGGAAGATTCAAGGACTATACGAGACAGAAAGACATAAAGTAGCCAATGAAATAAAAAACATAGACTCAATAGCACTAACTACTGACTGTTGGACCAGTAAAGCTATAGAGTCTTATATAACAGTTACGGCACATGGCATTAATAAAAATTGGAAAANAAAGTTACGGTACATGGCATTAATAAAAATTGGAAAATGGTCAATTATATTATTACAACTGAATTAATGGATGAGCGACATACCAGTATAAATTTAAAACAAAAATTATTGGATATTATGAAGGAATGGGAAATTGATACAAAAACTATGTGTATTGTGCATGACAATGCGGTAAATATTAAGAATGCCGTTACTGCAATGGCTCCAAACATTAAAAGTAGGACATGTTTCGCTCATTCATTGCAGTTATGTGTTAACAAAGGTTTGGAAGAAAATGAAATAAAACAAATTCTAATTACTGCATCTTCAATCGTTTCACATTTCAAACACTCAACAGTAGCAATCAAAGCACTTCAAGTAGCACAGAAAAAATTAAAAATGCCAGAAAAAAAATTAATTCAGTCTGTTAAAACTAGATGGAACTCAATTTATGCAATGGTTGAACGACTTATCGAATCTCGACAATGTATAAGCATAGTTTTAAATGACCGTAATACCACAACTAGAACAACAGCAATATCACTGGAACTCAGCGAAAGTAAATGGGAGCTATTGGAGCAGTTAGTTAAAGTGCTCAAGCCTTTCGATCTTGTTACTAAAGTCTTATCATCTGCAACAACTCCAACAATATCAACTGTACATCCAATTTTAAAAAGTATTGTCCAACACTATTTGACTCCCAACGAATCTGACCAACATAAAATTAAAATATTTAAAGAAACATTGTCCCAAGAGTTCGAAGTAAGATTTTTTAGTCAAATGCACAATGATTCTAAATTTCTTCTAAATATTGCTTCACTTTTAGACCCACGTTATAAAAATTTTTTTGATGACGATAGTGATACTTTAATTACCTTAAAAGATTTTATTATGCATCATTTAAATTATGAAGATTCTTCAATTGATGATACTACCAATCAGCCAAACCCTGTAGTATCTGCTTTGGATATTTTATTTCCCCAAAATCATAATGGTGAAGATATAATTGAACAAAATGAGCTCGACAAATACTTAAAAGAAAACTGTATTAACAAGAATGCCTGTCCATTAACATGGTGGGCTGAAAATGACAAGAAATATCCAGTGATATCAAAACTTGCTAAAAAATATTTATGTATCCCGTTAACATCTACGCCCTCAGAGAGAGCTTTTTCTACAGCGGGGAATATTATAACTTCTAAAAGAAATTGTCTGGCTGGTAAAACAGCCAAATGGTTAATATTTCTTTCACATAATGCTAAATTACAATAATTATAAATTAGCATTATGTGAAAGAAATATTAACAATTTTGGTTAAAAATTTTCAAAACTAAAAAAACAATATACTACTTATTTTATTTTATTTTAATATTCTATTTTATTATTTTTGACTTCATTAATAATTTTTTTTAACTTTGACACAAGTATAATATACTATACATATTATGTACGCACATAAAAATTCTTTTTTTATATTAATAAAAATAATAAATGCCAACTTGATTCTTTCTAAATTCTAGCTCTTACTGCACAGGTAGATGTCAAATATTGTGAACAACTCGAAAACCCGGGTGTATTTGCTATTAAGGCTCTTATAACAGTCAATTTTCAATTGATCTGAGATCGTAATTCGCATTATTCAGGTTGATAATAATGAAAAAATAGCTGATTATCTCATAAACAAAGAAGCCGGATTGAATCCGAAATCCGAGTCAACGGATTGAATCCGAAATCCGAATTAACGGATTGAATCCGTGAATCCGGATAAAACGGATTGATCCGAAATCCGGATTAAATAATTGTAATCCGTAATCCGGATTGGTCAATATAATGCTCAGCACTAATGTCAACTTTGTTTTTTTTAATGGTAACACATATTTTTAATTTAATCAAATGTTTGAGTTTTTAATGATATTGCTATCACAGACACGGATTGTTTATTATCAATTATGACTATCAATAGATATACTTTTTGTATCGTCAGTTAGTGTATTTATAAACTCACAACAATGTACCTTACTATCATTGATATTAACAATGCTGTGTACCTGCTAATATCGATGTCATAAAAAACCCATTAGCTACCTGTATTTGTAATCCCTTGTGTATTATACCTGTATATTAACTCAAAAATTTGAAACTTTAAATGTTTATATCTAATAAACAAATTAAGTTTTATTAAAAATTCAAATGCCATTTATTATTGAATTAAAAACTCAAACATTTGATTATATTAAAAATATGTGTTACCATTAAAAAAAACAAAGTTGACATCCTTACTAGGCATAAGGAATGAACTTAAAAAGTATTACATAGTTAATAATTCAAGAATAATGTGTAACTAAAGATAATAATAAAAAAAAAATTTTAAATTATTATTATTCTGTAAGTAATTGAGTGGGTTATGATAAAAAAATCACTCTGTATATATATACAATATATATAATATATAATATATATGTATATATATACATATAAAATATGTATATATACATACAGTTATCTATTATAATTTATTTACCTTTGGCAAATCGTCATATTTTGTTTATAAACGTGTACCTATGGAGGAATGCCCTCCATTTTTGTTGATAATCTGAATATACATTGAATAATATAAAGGGGGATGTATTATTTTAAAGATAATAAGTAAAGGTACAAAAAATGTAAATTAAAAAAATTAGAGGGATGGCATCCCTCCGTTCCCCCCCACTTCGACCACTGGATAAAATAAGTAATTTTTCAAAACGACGTGACTGCATTTAGGAGGGTAAATGTCAATTGATGATAATGGGAAAAAAATATTGTAAATAAATATAGTTTAAAAGCGTGTTTTTTCGTTTTTTTTAACTATATTTATTTTTTACTTTTAGTTTCATGTTATGATAGTAGTTACTATCAATATCATGGTTGTAACGAGTAACGGGAAGTCAGGGTTCGATTCCGGGGAAGGATTCTGAGAAACATCTACCACATCCAAGGAAAGCAGCAGGCGTGTAAATTAACCACTCTCGTAACATGGAGGTAGTGACGACGAGTATTCACTCGGTAATTCCTATCAATAGTCAGAATTATTTAAACAAATAAGCAAATTATACTTATACTTCACAATTCATATTTGTTTAAATATCTAGGAAGTCTACATTCCGACCCGACTTAGCAAGCGTTTTTGAAAATAAAACAATCTTATAAAATACAACAATATTTAATTAGTAGATAAATATTAAATGTGTATACACAATTTACCACGTTACATTACATAAAAACATATAACAATTTTTAAATTAAAATAAAATAATTAGTTTTCATGACACTTTCTTAGTTTTTTGTTAAAAATTAGCAGTAAATAATAATAATAATCAGTAAAGAAAAAGAAAAATGTTTAGACTATAGACAAAACTAAATTTTTTAATATAGTTCTCGAATTTTGTTTACATTTTAAATTTGATTTTCATTACAATTTATTACAACTATAAATTTCATTTGTTATTAAATATAAATAAATTATTTTTGTAGCATTTGATATTCATTCAGGACCGCTGTAATTTGGAGATGAAGATGAATATCTCAGCGAAGTTGGCGAGTATAATGATGAATACCTATTTATAATAAAATATAAGTTATACCAAACATATTGTTACATTTGTGCAGGAAGTGTTTATATTTTGTAATAATAATTAAAAGTAAATAACTCTTTAAATAATAATAATAATGATAATTTTATTATATTAAATTATATTTTTTTAATTTCTTTACGAGTTTTTGAACTTAGAAACAAAAAATAATTCACTTAGTCACTTTTTGAATAATAGCAATGGTATATAGAGAATACATTTTTTGACTACATCATATAGGTAAGTAATACTCAATCAAATTTAAAAGTTGATAATTTATTTTAATTTTTTTGTAGATAAAAATTTTAAAATAAACTCTTTGAGTTGTGATCAAAAATAAGAAATAAAGTTTCTAACGATTTTTTCTAAAAGTTTCATCTTGTTGTATTTCATTTTAAGAAAAATAAAGCGATTTTAATCGATATGAAACTTCATACAAAATGATGTAGTGTAATTAATTTTATTTTAAACTTAACGAGGTATTCTAAAAACAACATTGTTATTTATCAAAAATATTATAATAAATTCTACATTTTTCTACTCTACTGGGTATTATACATTGTATAAAACTAAAATAAAAAAAATAATTTTACCTTGGACTTGAAACTAAATAACAAGACGGAGAATAAACTGGAGAGGTAGGACAATATAACCGATTATATTGATTGTTTATCAAAGGTACATTCGGAAGAGATGATGGACTATATGAAGTATTCGATGGGGTATATACTGGACTAGTAAGGCAATATGTTGGGCTGGTTGGAGAATATACAGGACTAACAGCCAACGAAGGAGATGATGGAGAGTAACTATCAGGACTTGTTATACCACTTGGTGTGTAAGATGGAGAAGCTATATACTGAGGAGAGCTCAGGCTGTATGAAGGCGATGTTGCACTATACGACGGCGAAGTTGGGCTGTACCTAAAAATATATAGTTATACAATACGCATAATTGTGTTTTATGAGAAATGTTAAGAATTAAATATAAACATTTACATTAAAATTAAAGTGTCAATATCTAAATAATAAAAATTATATTAGTAATTAACATTGACGTAGAACAACAAAAGATAAATAATTTCATATTTTTAAAAGCAAAACTTTATTCAGTCAAACGAATCAGCTTCCTCTGTTCTAAAGCATTGGGGAATCATCTTAATTCATCGGCTAATAATTTATAATTTTATATTTGATTAAGTATCAAAAGGTGACCAGATAAATAAGCTTTTATTCAGCACAGGAAAAATCATCATTCTTTAAGCTTTTAAAATGTCTTACTGATTCTCCACTTTTGTCATCATTCCCTAACGTTGAAATAGCAATGCGGATATTTTGTTGTATGGCTTCAACAAATGCAAGTGGGGAACGATCATTTTCCGTATTAAAACGAATAAAAATGATCTAAGATCCATTTTAATATAAAAAAAAATGTCATCGCTTTCAATATTAAACATAGAAGACCTTTTAAACAGACTGATTGGTCAGAGATTATCCACCAGTATGCGACCATCAAATCAAGGCAAAAATTAATTTTTATATAAACAGAAAATAATGTATAAAAAGTAATAAAGGATTGTATTGTTTCATTTACAATTTTTTTTAAATTTATACGTGACATAAAATTTAAATACAGTAAACATATACTAAAAGATACGTAATATAGTATTTTTTAAAAAACTTTTCTTTTTTTTGTTCTACAACAAAAAAACTGAATAGGCTAAAGACAAAATGGATGGACTAAGTCATCTGCGGAGCTCGGGGCAAGTGCCTCGCTTGCTCCAGTACTGATATTTTTGATCGGCAAAAAAGATCTTTAAGAAAAAATATCTAAAGGACAGCAACATAGCTTAATACGGCACTGGATGCGATCATTGTATTTAAACAGTTATATGCCAAAAAAAATAAAAAGTTAAACGGAATGCAACTAGAATACAATTTTTGAGTATGCTTAGTTAACACTCCTTCAGATTAAAAATATTTTTATACAACAATAAATATAATCTTCTAAGACTTATGAGGGCTAATTCATTAATTTGAGAGAGCTAAGTTCTTTTTAAATGTTCCTATAAATGTAACTAATAGACCAATAGACTATGTAAAACCTGAAGTTTCTTAATTGAATCTTAATCTTAATTGATAATTATTACTTGACACAATCTTCCACATCATCTACGCACACATCAGCCGTCCTCTAATCGCATTCAATAACATCCCTCTATCTCTTTTTTGGTCTTCCTCTACCTCTTCTTCCTTCAACATTCATTTCTACAGCTGTTCATACGACTTCCGATTCCTCTCTCCTCATAATATGACCAAACCAACCAAATTTAATTTCTCTCATCTTATCTATGATAGACACTACACTAATACTACCTCTTATATGTTTGTTCCTTATCCTATCTTTTCTAGTCACTTCACTTATCCATCTAAGCATTCTCATCTCTACTCTACTTTCTTATCAACTGCCCAACACTCATAACTATATATCATAGCTGGACTCACTACAGTCTTATAGAAGTTACTTTTCAGCCTCTTAGAATTCTTTTATCGCATAAGACACCAGACACTTCTCTCCACTTCAACCACCCCCACTTAATCCTGTGTCTTACATCCTCGTCAATACCACCTCTCTTTTGCACAACATAAAACTTTCCACCTCTCCAATCATGTCCTTGCCTATCGTCACTGGTCTCCTTATTTCATTTACCTCGTGTTCTCCTACATCAAACTTGTACTCTATATATTCTGTCTTACTCCTACTTATTCTTAAACCCTTTTTTTCAAGAGCTGATCTCCACATCTCTCTAGCCTTTGATTAATTTGCTCCCTATTTGCTCATATTAACACAATATCGTCAGCGAACAACATGCACCATAGCACTTCTCCTTGTATTTCTCTAGTAATTTCAGGCTTCACTATAGAAAATTAGTAAGGGCTTAAAGCAGAGCTTTGGTTCACTCCTACTTTTATCCTAAAACCTTCTGTTACTCCTCCCACATTTTTTACCTTGATACAAGTGCCATTATACACTTCCTCTATTACATTAATTTGTTTCAATAAATTAAAAAATATAATAATACAATTTTTCTTACGATGGTGATGTTGGACTATATGATGGAGAAGTTGGGCTATATGATGGAGAAGTTGGGCTATATGATGGAGAAGTTGGGCTATATGATGGAGAAGTTGGGCTATATGATGGACTTGTTGGATGAAACCTTAAAAAAAAAAAACAATTAGTAAATTATTTTTGTTACTAGCGTAACAGCAGCTAAAATAATAGTTGTTTCAAATGAGAACCTAAAAGAAGCTACAAAATTCTATAACTAAATAAAATTAAAAACAAAGGTTAATGTATAATGTATAACCCTTTAAAAAAAATATAGCACTTAACATGAGTTTGTTTATTATATTAAAATTATATGCAATATTTCTGAACCGTACCATATATATATGTAAATTGAGGTCTATGGTTTACAAAAATGGATCTCGTAAATTTGTAATCTTTAAGTCATTATACATAGCATGATCAATAATATTATAAGTAAAAAAAATCAGCACAGTTGGACAAGTATGAATGATATCTGACAGTGATTAAAATTAAAATTTTAAGAAACGCTTCGATGTAAATCTGTAGTGTTTAATTCTAAGAAATTAATAGATTATTTTAAAAGCAACTCATATTTTCTTAATTATATCCTGATTACCAATTGAATGGTTTATAAGTATAGAACATTTAGAAATTAAATTTTGTATGAAATTGATATTAAATTTTGTATTGTAATTTTCACAGGGAAATTATAAAAAATTACAATGTAGTTGTACAATTTTTTACCTCTTAGGCAAACATGTATTAAAATTGTAAATATAGATTATTAATATAAAAATGTTAACTATTTTAATTCGATTATTCTGACATTTGTTAGTTAATTATTATTTCAATCATGATATAAATTATGAAATTTTAAATTATAAATTATCCATGAACATATTTATAACTAACACTTAAGTCTTTATTATTGTTTTTTTTTTTTTTTTTATAAGTGGGTACAAAACCATCCTATATGACTCTACTATCTGACTTAAATATAGACATCAATAATTGAAAATAACAGGAAAAATAGTGATTATTTACAATGTAAATTTTATATCATAATAACATTTTTTTATTTAACTTCGTCGATGGCTATTTGCACATAGAAGAAATGTATTAGGTATCAAGACATTTTTTTTCAACATAATATATATATATATATATATTTGAAAAGTTTAATTTTTCATTCAAAATTTGGTATTTTATATCCCTCAAGAAGGGTAGAGAATCAGATTTTTTTTAAATGAATGGGAAATACTTAACGCGCTTATAAAAAAAACTGTTTTTATTCATTCGTTTTTCAAAAAGTGATGGTAGTTTTAAGTAAAAAAAAAAAACCAGCACAGTAGGGTCGTGGCATAGTTGAGTCCAGTATATATGATATATGACAGTGATCAAAATCACTACCATAAAAAACGCGTCAATGCAAATCTTTAGATAGCCTTTAATATTAAGAAATTGTTTGATTATTCTATAAGCAATATTAACTCTTATTTCAATCATTAGTCCTAATTAGTAGTTGATTTATAAGTATCATTTATGAATAAATATTTATTAAAGCAATTCAACGTAGTATGAAATTAATAGTTAATAATTATTATATACAAGTTTGATTATTCTATAAGATAGTGTTTCATTAAAAAAAAAAAATTTGTCAAAAAAGTAGGTCAAGTGAGAGCTGAGAAAATAAATGATGACTACAAAAAAAAAACACATAGTAAAATAATATTAATATGAATTTTTTCTCACGAGAGGAGACTACAGTAATGGGATCCTTGATATTTATTGAAGTAATTGAATCTAAATGAGATAAAAATCAAATGAATTAAACATTTTTTCTAACTCAAAAAGAATTAAGAAAAAATTCAGTGCCACAGGCGTGAAAGACCCAAGTGTTACCGTTTCAGAAACTGTACGTCGCATTCGTTACTTAATAAAAATGAAAATTTAGCTAGTTTAAATTTTTAAGTTATTTTTTTCGACTTCAAAGAAGCAAAAAAATTTAAATATGTTTAATTAATTAAACTATGTCATTAAACTATGTCATTATACTATTATATATTAATTATACTATGTCAATTAGATTGATATAATATTTATGAAAATCAGTGTAATCAATCCCCTTATAATACAATAAAATAAAATAAAATTCAAAACAAAAAATTTTAACACAAAAATAGCATATTTTTGAATACCGTAGCTTTTTTCACCATGAAGACCAAATAAAGTCCAAAATTTTTTTTTTTAATATTGAAGTATATTACATAAGCTTTAATTTAAGATATATAAAAAAGTGTCAGTATTTCCGGAACACTTTCAAAAGTTAATTTTTTGTGAAAAAGTTGTCATTTTGAATCCCCTCTTGTGGGCTGATAAAGGGTTAAATTTATAAAAAAAATATACTAAATGATAGGTAAAGACATCAAGCATCTATAAAAAAAATTATATTGATTTGTTCATTTATGAAAAAGTTATGGTAATTCTAAGTAAAAAAACACAGCACAGTGGGGTCGAGGCACAGAGGGACGTTGCATAGTTGGGTCCAGTATAGATTTAATCTGACAGTGATTAAAATCACTATCATAAGAAACGCTTCGATGCAAATCTGTAGACAGTGTTTAATTTTAAAAAATTGATGGTTAATTACAAAAGCAACATCAACTTCTATTTCCTTAATTATACCCAGATTAGTAATTCTTTTAATTATACCCAGATTAGTAATTCTTTTAATTATATATTATATAATTTTTAAAATTAATTGTTTTCAAATTATTATTGATTTTAATTTTTAATATGTTAAAAGTAAAAATTTTGAACCTACTTTTTTTTGTCCTTTAACGTGAAAGTTTTAATAATAATAAAAAATGAATTTATTACCATAACTTTTAGCTCAATTTGCAAGTTTGAAATTGACATTATTAAATAGAAAAAAATGAAATTGTTAAGATTAATATGAATTAGGAAATTTTATAATTACTATTTACAGTTCATTTATCAGAAAAGTTCAATTTTTTTTTTTTACATTTTTATCGTAATGGATCACTTAAATAAAAATCATAGTAATCATTTCTAATTAACTTTTGGTGTTTAAAGATTTTACAATTGAAATATGCAGAACTCAATTAATTTTAATGATTTACTTTAACTAAAAAAACCAATAAAAAAATGTGCTATTTTTTTATTGGTGGGGTCGAGGCACAGTGTAGACAAGACATAGATGGACAAGTATAGATGATATTTGACAGTGATTAAAATCACTATCATAAGAAACGCTTCGATGCAAATCTGTAGGTAGTGTTTCATTTAGAGAAATTGGTGGATTATTCCAAAAGCAACATCAACTCTTATTTCTTTGATTATATCCTAATTAGTAGTTCTTTGATTTTAAAATATAATATATGAATAAATACTAATTATATATATTAAATTTAGTATGAAAATAAAATACAAAACCTAGAATTTTAATAGAAAAATAGCATATTTTTGAATACGGTAGCCATTTGCGCATAGAAGATAGGTCGTCGGGAAAAATTTTTTTTTTTTTAAATATTATAGTACATAAAATAAGCTTTAATTTGATATATGTTTAAAGGATGCAGTATTTCCGGAACATTTTCAAAAATTAAGTTGAAAAAGTTAGTTTTTGTAAAAAAGTTGCTATTTTAAATCCCCCCTGTGAGCAGAATAAGTGTTAGATTTTCAAAAAAAAATGATATCAAATGAAAGAAAATTACCTAAGGTTTCAATATAAAGAAATATTATTTTGATTAGTTAATATTTGAAAAAGTTATGGCAGTTTTAAGTACAAAAAACATCGTTATAAAAGGTGATTTTTATCGCAAATATTACATTTTTTTTATAATTTCGACAGCCATTTGCACATAGAAGATAAGGTGTCGGGACAAATTTTTTTTTTTCATTTTATAGTACATAAAAAAAGCTTTAATTTGATATATGTTTAAAGGACGCAGTATTTCCGGAACATTTTCAAAAGTTCAGTTGAAAAAGTTCTATTTTTTATACAATGTTTCAAAGTTTGAACCCCCCCTATATAAGGGGAAATTGTCTAATTTTAATAAAAAGTATGTCAAATGGAAGATGTACTTATAATGTATTTAGAAAAAAAAAAATTGTGCTGATACATACATTTTTCGAAAAGTTATAGCATTTTTAAGTTGAAAATTAAAAATCGAAAATCGAAAATTTTAACACAAAAATAGTGTTTTTTTAACTACGGCAACCGTTTACATGCAGAAGATAAAGTGTCGGGACAAATTTTTTTTTTTCATTTTATAGTACATAAAATAAGCTTTAATTTGATATATGTTTAAAGGACGCAGTATTTCCGGAACATTTTCAAAAATTAAGTTGAAAAATTTAGTTTTTGTAAAAAGGTTGCCATTTTAAAACCCTCCCAGTGAGCAGGTTAAGTGTTAAATTTTCAAAAAAATGATATCAAATGAAAGAAAAATATTTAAGGTTTTAGTATAAAAAAAAATTATGTTGATTTGTTGATTTTTGAAAAAGTTATGGAAGTTTTAAGAAAAAAAAGTGAAAAAAATGACAAAATTTGTCGATTTTTAAATTTGNTGACACAATTTACCGAATTATAAATTTGTAATTTTTTTGGAGATTTCCCCCATTTGCGGGGAACGAGAGAAAATTTTTTAATTTTTAAGGGTATTGTCTTCAACTAGATACGATTTGTGATCTTTTGACGTATCGTAAAAAATCACAGCATTCGCATCGAAGCTAATAATATTTTAAAAAGTCTATAGTTACTAATTTTAAGAATTGTAATTGTTTTTGGAGATTTTTATTTACGAAAAACAAGAAAAGTAAAGCAATATTAACTCCTTAATTATATTCTGATTAGTATTCTTAGATTTAAAAGTATTGTATTAAAATAAATACTAATTATAGTAATTAAATATAGTACTTAATTAATAATTTAGTATTGTAATTTTTACAGAGATTTTATAAAAAATTATATAGTAGTTGTTACTTTTATGACAAACATATTTAAAAAAGGAAGTGCCTGATACAAGGATAACTATACGGAATATAGTTCTGAATATTTCAATTGTAACATCTATTTAAACACCAAGATTTTATAGAAATTACAAATATTTCTATTGAAATGATACATTACGATATTAACATAAAAATATAATGTGTGATATTAACAATATTTTGCAATCTTGAGAATCGTTTGCAAAAACGAGAGAAATTTTTTCAATTTTTAGTGTAATGTGTTCAATTAAATATAATATGTGATATTTTGTCGTATAGCTGGACATAATGGGTCCAATGGTAACAGACACAAAAAAAAAACTTTATAGTAAAATTAATATCTACTAGGCTTCGCATCGAAGCTAAAAAAAGCTATACCATGATAGTTTTCGCTAAATAATTATAATTCTCATAACAAAAACAGTGGTCACTAAACTGTTAATTAGTTAAACGATAATAGTAATAAGCAGTATTTTAAAATAATAATTATTAGATAAATGAAGAATTTCGAATTTTTTCTCATTACTAAATATTTATTAAAAATAAAATAAATTACACCATGGGATTTCTTTATAAATCAATTACAAAATAAGGCAATATTACAATATTTTGGGTGTTATATGGTAAGGTTAGGAATTTTGAATAAATCAAGTGACCCTTTTTTTGTATAATAATTTTGCGAGAATTCTATTATAGTTAGGTTTTTTTATCTTTGATGTGAAGTTGAGAAAGTATTAATTTTTCTATGATGTTTTTTTTTTTGTGTGTGTTTGTTACCACTTTTCTCAACTATCACCGAACCGATTTCTTTCAACGATACGTCAAAAGATCGTATCTAGTCGAAGACAATACCCTCAAAAATTGAAAAAATTGTAAATGAGGAAATATCTAAACAAATTGCAAATTTAAAAATCATTAATTTTCGAAATTTTTTTTTTTTACTTACAACTGCCATAACTTTTTTAAAAATAACAAAATCAATATAATTTTTTTTTTATAGATACGTGAGATATTTACCTATCATTTTGTATATTTTTTCTATAAATTTGAAGTTGAACTTAAAGTTTTGTAAAACAAATTCAACTTTTTTTATTATAAACTTTCAAAAAATCAACTTTATAATACCAAAAAATAGGTTAAGAATGATATTTTGCGCTGATCATTTAAAAAATATTAATAATTAAAATCTTTAATAATTTAAAACAATTTTTTGTGTTTTTAATTTTTTTATCGTAATAAATCATTTCAATTGAAATAATAATTTCTATGTAATTCTTGGTGTTTAAATAGATGATACAATTTATATATTCAGAACTATATTCCGTATGGTTATATCCTGTAGTTTTTTACTAATTAGTGATAATATCAAAAATTAGTGGTGATGGAAAAATCTAATGGCAGATTTGAAATAAGGACGAAAAATTGATCTATATGAGTATATTTTTAATTCTGATTAGAACTCTTTGTAAATCATTTATTCATAATTAACAACAAATTATTATCTAAAATGTTCTGTGTCAAGCCTTTTAATTTTATAATTTTTTATAAATTCTCCGAAAAAATTACAATATTTAATTATTAACTATTAATTTCATACTACGTTGAATTGCTTTAATAAATATTTATTCATAAATGATACTTATAAATCAACTTCTAATTAGGACTAATGATTGAAATAAGAGTTAATATTGCTTATAGAATAATCAAACAATTTCTTAATATTAAAGGCTATCTACAGATTTGCATCGAAGCGTTTTTTATGATAGTGATATTAATCACTGTCAGATATCATTTATACTGGACCCAACTATATGACGTCTCTACTGTACTGGGTTTTTTTTTATCATAACCCACTCAATTACTTACAAAATATATAAAAATTTTTTTTTTTTTTTTGTTATCATTAGTTACACATTTGTCTTGAATTATTAATTTTAATATTTTTTAAGTTATATATATATGGTTTGGTCCAGAAACGCCTCGTATTTTAGCCTATGTGTAAACATACATACATCAGTTTTTCTTTTCTTGCACTACACTAATTTCAATAAAATAAAGGATTATACTTGTATATGTGAAATATTAATTTTTCTTTTAATACAGAGACGTCCACGGTGTTTTAGCAAATTTAATAACTTTTAATTTAATCATTATTTTATGTTGATTGTTTAAAAATAATTTTATTAATTATAATTATCATAAAATATAATAGTTTTTTAATTTATTTTAAAAAAGTAGAAATATTAAATTTTTTAATGAAAATTTGCATGGAAAATGTTACATACTTATAACCAGTAGTGTGAAAGATTTTGTTCTCTTCTGCCCTTTTCAAAATACATATTTCAAAATAGATGTAAAGTAGATTGATAACAAATTGATATCGATTTACTCAATAAAATAGTTATCTTGACATTTTCCGTAAATTATCAATTTAAAAAAAATAAAATTTTAAAACTATTATATTTTTATAGTTAATAAAATTATTTTTAAACAAATCAACCTAAAATAAAATTGGATCATAAGTTATTAAACTTGTCAAACACATTGTGGACCACCCTGTAAAAACTCATGGTTACTTATGATGCAGTCTGCTAGGAATATTTATATACTAAGTAATTGCATAATTATTTCCCACAAAAAATATACATACGAAGGTGATGTAGGATTATAGGAAGGTGAAGTCGGACTGTATGAAGGTGACGTAGGATTATAAGAAGGTGATGTTGGACTATAAGGTGACGTTGGACTGTATGAAGGCGATGTAGAATTATAATTAGGCGATGTAGGACTATAAGAAGGTGAAGTAGGATTAAAAGAAGGTGACGTTGGACTGTAAAAAGGTGATGTACTATATGAAGGCGATGTAGGACTGTAGTTAGGTGACGTATTATATGAAGGTGACGTAGGACTGTAATTAGGTGACGTTGGACTATATGATGGCGATGTAGGACTATAGTTAGGTGACGTTGGACTATATGAAGGCGATGTAGGACTGTAATTAGGTGATGTTGGACTGTATTTAGGTGACGTTGGACTATATTTAGGTGATGTAGTGCTGTAGAATGGTGATTTCAGATTATATGATGGAGATGTAGGCCTGTACCTAAAATTAAAATTCAAAAAAATAATTTAAAAACACAAAGTTAAATAATTATAAAATTGTTTATAAGCTTACGAAGGACTGGTCTGTGTAAATGAATTGAAAGAATAAGATGGACTGGTAGGAGAATATAAAGGACTTGTTGGAGAATAATTAGGAGATATTGGGGAATATTTTGGTGAGTTTTGAAGCGATGGCGATATATAGTCAAATTGAGGACTTAAAGAGTATGTATAATTTGGTGATACACAACTCTGACTTGTAAAGTAAAGGCTTGAGTTAATACATGGTGATTCAATGTAACCCAGTGGTTCTCCACTAGTCATCCAAATAGGAGAAGTACCATTAATATCATTTGACCCAGCTGGAGAGAAACCAGGACCACCAGGAGTTAAACCTGTTTAAAAAAATAATTATTTTAACTATAGAATAAAAAAAAATTAAATGGTTTGATAAAAAAAGATATATGTATACATGTTTAAACTTTAGTGTAAACCTAATTAAATTATTATAAAAGTAGTATAATTAAAAAATGTCAAAGTAAAATGTGAACAGCCATAATGTCGTGCCAGGTCCAATACGTTTCAAAGGTAATATAACTCAAAATTGGAAATTAAAGTATCAATGTTAAAAAATATACTTTTTGGCTAACCAAACATATAATGTAGAAGGTCAAAAACGCCATACTTCTAAACTTCATTGAAAGAATAACAATTTATTATACGTTTACATTTGATAATGAAACAAACATTTTATATTAATTGTAGTTTATTGAAACATTTCCCTGTATTACAGGGATTGAGGGAAATTTTTTAAATTATAAAACCAATAATTTAAATGAGATACTATTTTTGATTTCTTGATATACTATTGAGCAATCTCATTTTAAAATTAGTCCAGTAGGAGTGGTAAATCATATTTAATGTGACAAAAGAAAAAATAACAGGAGTAAAACCAATACTACCTTAGCTTTACCTCAAATCTATAACTTAACATGAGAGAGGACCAGGAAGGGTTAAGTTCTACACAGAAGGTGTATTTACTTGCAAATTAAGTGTTGATGGATCATCATATACTATTGATATTTATGTTGTTCCTGATGAAGCCATTACATGTGACCTGTTAGTAGGAAAAGTTATATTTCAAACAAGTGCTGAACTGTACATAAATCCTAAGTGTGTGAGAATAACTAAATTTGAAGAAGAAGAAAATCAAATCATGTCTATTAATATATCTTGTAATGAGCTTAACATAGGTTCATCAACTTATACAGAGGAGATTAATAAAATAGTGCAAGATTATGAACCGAATAAAGTAAAATATGCACCGATTGAAACAGTTATTTTATTCATGGTTGATAAACTTGTATATCAAAGACTACAGCGCCAATCTCCAGCAGAAACATGTCAAGTTGACAAACAGAGGAATGGTTACAAGAAGACATTATTAGACCTAGCTGTTCTGACTATACTAATCCAATAGTTTTAGTCGGGAAGAAAGATAACTCTCTACATCTCTGTGTAGATTACAGAATGTTAAATAGGAAGATAATCAAAGATAGATATCCTCTGCCCTTAATAGATAACCAATACTACCTTAGCTTTACCTCAAATCTATAACTTAACATGTGTATTTCTAACATTTAAGTTAATAAAACCCAGCATAATGGTGGCGCGCCCTAGTAAAAATGTGACGTAATAGCAATAATTTCTATAGCAATTATACATAAATAATAAAGGCTTGTTAAATTAATTGTTTTAACACACAATATGCATTGGAAATGTCTTTAATTGTATAGCCTATACTTTACTACTAAATAATCTGTTACTATCCTTTGGGAACATGAAGTACATAATACCCATTTCTTACTTTACATTTTTTTACATTCTTTTGACTATATGAACATATTTCATAATCTACATTTTTCTTCAACTAAAGTAAGATGAAAAAAAATCTGTAGATTTGCAAAAGTAAAACAGTCTAAAGATTATCATAAAGTAAGGTGTATATATTAGAGCAGCGTTTCTCAACCTTTTTCTCATTGCAAAACCCCTTCCGAGATCCTGAAGAATTTTGCGAACCCCTGGTTTATACTGGTAGGTGAAAAAAAGCAATCAAATTTTGAAGGACATTTATCCTTCAAATTAGCCAAGAAACGAAAACATATTTGATAAGACTTAACTTAACTAGTATGAAGAACACCCTTAATGTGATATTTGTGGCTGTTTCATAGAACAAAGCAATGCAAAGTTGGGCTCAATATCGGACAATTTCGGCCTCACATCAGGTTCTGCATTCAATCTATTTTGGTATTTATATTTCAAATAAGTATTTGTTGAAAATCCTTTTTCATATAGATATGTTGTGCAAAAGGGTAAAAGGACTTGAACACCTTTTTTTGAAAGAGTATGATATTCATTAGAGATACTAAGCAAGAAGTTGATTAAAGATTAATTTTTAAAACTAGCTATTAGTGAATTGTCACAGGATTATTCTATGAGTTTTTCCTTTTCTAGAAGAGTAAGAGAGGTTTCTAAATTTAAATTTTCTTGAAAAGGATTACGTATCCAGCTGTTCTGTTCGAGCGGAATATATTGCATCTATCAGGAAAATAGTCATCGATAGTTAATTGAAGATGCTTCAGATGTTCAATTATATATTTTTTAATGTTTTCGTCAAGTACAATTGAATTTTCTGATAAAAAAGTGCAGAGAGAACCGAAACATTCGTACTCATTTAATTGCAGGCATTGGATCCAGAAATTGAACTTCTTTAGCAAAGTCTCAATTCTATCATATACAGTGAAAATGTTTACACTTGCGCCTTGTAATGATAGATTCAATTCATTTAATTTAGAAAAGATGTCAGCTAAGTATGCAAGCTTCTGCAGCCAAAGATCATCGAATAAACAAGAGGACAAATGAATCGGATGATCAATAAAAAAAGCTTGAACTTGAGATTTCAACTAAAACAAGCGTGTCAACACTTTACCATGGGAAAGCCATCTAACTTCGATGTGTAAGAGTAAAAAATGTGATCACTTCCAAAGTCCTCGCAAAGCGCACTAAATAAACGAGAATTCGTAGCACGAGATTTTATAAAATTAACAATTTTTACAGCATCATTTAAAGTGCTTGTCTATGAATACAGCAATGAGTCCATTCAATTTTGTCGTTGATTTTCTTTGCCTGTGCCACGAAACCAGAAAAATTTCCTGTCATTGATTTTGCACCATCTGTGCATACACCCACGCAATAGGACCAGTTTATTCCATTTTTTTTCGAAATAACCATTGATCAGATCAAAAATTGCTTCTCCAGTTGTGTAGGTTTTCAGAAGTTTTGCAAAAAGAACATCTTCTTGAATGATATTCGTGGAAACATATCTAACGTAGACAAGCAATACTGCGGCGTTTGCTACATCGGTTGACTCGTCAAGCTGAATCGCAAAATGATTCTATTTGATTCTCTTCAAGAGTTTGTTCTGAACATCATTTGCCAAATCGTTAATTCTTCGGGACACCGTATTGTTTGATAAGGGAACCAGTTCTATTTTCCTTGCTGCCTTTTCTCCTATCATACATTTGACAATATCTTTTGAACATGGCCCAATAAAATTTTCTGCCACTGTATGTGCCTGTCCAGATTTTGCAATTCTGTAACTTATTCGAAAAGATGCCTCAAGAGCCATTCTACTATCATCGTTTGTAAACAGGAGAAGAGAGACACTACACTTTTTATTATCTGCCAATTTTCTTTTGAAATACTCGAAAGGCTTAACCTTGTACGTCGGATGTTTCGTTTCAAGATGCCTGCGAAGAAGGAAAGGTTTCAAACTGCTGTTGGCAAGAACTCGCTGCAGTGGTTTAGGTTCGGACTTTTCGCCAGTAAAATAAAAACCCATTTGTAAATAGTCATTGTCATATTTCCTTTTTTTTCACCACGTTCACTATTTTTGTCTATATTTTTAGTCTGTGGAAATGGCAGATCACTACGACATTCACTATTTGCTTCTAAGCAACCCGTTTTGAACCATTGATCCATAATAAACTTGAGGTATTATGATTGTTGAAAGTTATTCATTGTCACTGTGGCTATTCACAGAAAGAGAAACGAATCAAATGAAGCATTTTTGAAAAACTCAGCTGATTTATAGTTTCAGTTTATAGGTAATTCTGAGATTGAAGGCAGTGGGACTTTAACCATTACCGATTGTTAACACGCTTATTTTAGATTCATCTGTATGTTTGTAAAATGATTATAACTCTCCACGCGCCACGTGTTATTATCTCGTGTATCCTGTCGTCTGTGGCCTGGAGACTAGACTATCGTAACGCATTCGCCCCACCCCGCCCAACACTCGCCGATAACACTATATTCCTGTATATTTTTTGGTTTTTGTACCTGTACATGCGGGCGTATCATCAATATTATATATATACAACAAATTTTTATTATTTATTATTAGATATAAACATTTAAAGATTCAATTTTTTTTTTTGAGTTAATATACATGTATAATACATAAGGGATTACAAATACAGGTAGCTAATTGGTTTTTTATGGCAATATTAGCAAGCATATAATCGTCGGGTGTTCAAATCCCCCACACTTTTTTTCACAATAACACTAGTATTTTTCGTTCATTATTGTTTTAAGCTCTTTTAAAAATTATTTTTAACTTTTTATTTCGATATGCTTTAAAAGAGTGTTTTTCAGTTTTTTTAAACTATATTTATTTATTTAAAACTCGATAAGGTGTTTGAATTCCAGTAAATGGTACATTAGCCTCACTCAGGAGGTTTACAAAGAGATTACAGATCTGCATAAATTTAGATAAAACTTCTGAAATAACATAAAGAAAAATTTCCCCTTTTAAGTTGCTTAAAATTTAGTTGTTCTAGAATCCAGGATATTTATCTGATGTTTTGTTACGGTTTTCTCGGTAATTTTCCTTTGGCTATTCAAAATTCTGTCATTACAATATTATTTTCGAGAATCCTTGGGGGTTCGCGTACCATCGATTGGGAAACACTGTATTAGAGGATATTTCATTAAACGAAGAACTGGTAGTTTTAATTAGTGAGAAAGAGGTATGGGTGGTATTGTAACAGAACCAACTTTCAATAAAACATTAATCTATTGGGTAGTTTGATAAAATCATAATATAATTCATTATTTTATCTTATAAGATTAAAGTTAACTGTCACTATAATAATAGTTAAGTTTTATATATTTCAATATCATCCGTAAATTTATTTATTTTAAAGTTTTTAATTGTTTATTAGCTAGTTAATTTATAATATTACATTTACTGCGTGCTTAAAGACTACATAAACTATAGCATTAACTAATACTAATTACAATATACTTCATAAAACTATAATTTTAAAATAATTTTTCCATTTAATTCTATCCAAATTATTTTAAATTATTTTTTAGAACTTACCTTATAATATCAAGAGATGATTTTTAGTTAATCAAGCATGTTATTTTATTAAATAATAAATTATTTAAAAAATTGTGGGGGTACTAAAAATAATAGATTATATATTATAATTAGATATATAGTGTTTGGTCAGTAATTAGCGAGAAAGAGATATGAGAGGCTGTGGCATCAATGAAAAAAAAACAATAATGCAGTAGGACCAGATGAAGTGCCAGTAGATGTATGGAAAATATTAGGCGGCGTTGGCATAAGGTGATTGAAGGATCTTTTAAATAAAATCTTATTAGAAGTGAAATTCAAATGAATGAAGGAATAGTATTGTGGTGCTGATATTTAAAGGTAAAGGAGTCATACAGGAGTGTGGAAATTATAGAGGCATAAAGCTTATGAGTCATAGAATGAAAATTTGGTAAAAGGTTATAGATAAGAGAATAATAAATGAGACATCGGTATCTAAAAACCAGTTTGGATTTATGCCTGGTAAGTCAACAATGGAGTCATTATTTTGTAAGAGGCAACTATTTGAAAAGTTTAGAAAAAAGAAGAAAAAGCTGTGTATGATATTTGTTAATGATAATATATTTTGATCTGATTGTATGAACGGGTTTATTACTCAATTATAATTTTTATAGATGTCTTTGGTGGGGTCGAAATATTTAGAAAATTTCTCTTTTAATTTGCATAAGTGTTTTTTAATTATTATACATATTTCATTAATTTTATTTTTTGTCAATATATTTTCCTGGATCATATTAAACAAATTTGGAAACATATCAAATATTTCGTTATTAACTCAATTTGTCCATAATACAATTTTTTTTAAGAAATACTTCAATTTTGTTGTACGATATAAAAAGATTAGTTTGTGGTCCTTGCATACTTAAAATTAAATCATTTAGAATTGAAAATGTATCGGAAAGATATGCAAATTTTGCTCATCATAAATATCTGTTATATTGTTAAAGTTATCTGTCCAGATAACTTTTAGAACATAGAGTAGTGAAGAGTATTTATACCCTACTACCCCCACTTTTATGAATCCATGTCCATGGGAGACCTTATGTTTTCCGTAAATATGTCATTGTACTTCAAAGATAGTTTACATGAACTTGACTTTGTTTTAACTAAATAATCAATAGTGACATTGCAATCAGTGACTAATATTGTCAATTTTGCAATAATATGATTTTTTAAATACTAGCTGAAGATTTTGTATCTTACTTGATAACCAGTTATTTGGATGTTCAGGAGTTACTGTATATTGGTTCCATGGTGTCATTATTGTGGATAAATGAGCACCATTAGCTGCAAATATACTACCACTATTTATGTCCATACAAGTAGCATCAGCAGATATTTCAATACCATCTTTTACTTGTTCAGGATCCAATATTAAATCAAAACAGCCTAATAATAAATTAATAATTTATAAGTGATTATAATTCATAGAAATCTATAATTTAAATGATACCTGTTCCCATTCTTGGTAGTTGGCCCATTAAAATATTTTCTGAAACACCATTCATTGGATCAACCTCAGAATGTGAAGCAGCTTCCAATAAGACATCAACAGTTTCTTCAAATGAACACCTAAAAAAATAATTACAAAATGATTAATTAATTAGTCAAAAATTAAAAATTATATTTATTACATTTAAAAGAGTACATGTTGAAATAATGACACTTTATTAATTGATTTTTGACACAACATTAAAATAACAGATTATTATAAATTATCTTATCTACTATGCTACAATATGCTATATTACCCTTTTAAATTAATTGTATACATAATTAACAAAAATAAGAAAATTTATTTATATTCGCTTATTTTATTTCATCAATAAAAAAAGAAAAATATATTATACACAATAATATCAATTCATATAATATAGTAATTAACAGGGTGTGCACGGTTTAAACCAATTGGTTAAAACCATGGTTTAAACCATGGTTTTTTCCCTTTTTTTTAAAAAAAAAAAAAAAAAGAAGAAGAAACATTTGCATGTTCTTGAAATTTCAGGCTATAACTTCAACTTTCATTTGCCTGTCAGCTTGAACTTCCATTCTTGTTAATAACTTCAACTTTCACTGTTCATTTTAGTTCTTGTGTTCTTGACAGTCATTTTGGTAGCTTAATCTTATGTATTCTTATCCATGATCTAAACTAAATTTTTTTATAACATAAAATATCTAGTGGTGGAAGGAAAAGAGATTTGAGTTGGTTGTATTTTGATAAAGTAAAAAATGATAAGAGGAAAGGCTCTAGGGCTAAATGCAAAAGATGTCATAAAGAAATGGAAGGCCAAGTTGGAAGAATGAAAAAACATCTAGAAACTTGTGGATCTTTTGCTTCAGACTCTGATCATGATTCTGTTGATGCTCAAGTAGAAGTTACTACAACAAGTAGTACCACTATGACAGGAGAAGATACTGAAAGCAGTCTATGCCTTCCAGGTCCATCCAATTTGAAACGTAAACTTCCCTGTTCTACTCTTCCACTTGTACCGGAGAAAAAGCTGAAAATTTCAGATTTGTCTTCTTTTGTAGTGAAAACGTCATCAAGCCAGAAAGAAGTAATTGACTGTCATGTTGCCAAATACTTTTATGCTACTAATACGTCTTTTCGTAGTGTAGAAAATAATCATTTTAAAAAATTAATGGAGATACTTCGTCCTGGATATTTTCCACCCAGTAAATTAGATTTAAGTGGAAATTTGCTGAATAAAGTTTATGAATCAGAAATGGAAAAATGTCATGACACTTTAAAGAATCAAACTTTGTGTATGTCATTGGACGGGTGGTCTAATGTGCATAATCAACCTATTATTTGTATTTGTGTAACTACTATGGAGGGCATTGTATACCTAGTGGATACTATTGATACTAGCGGAACACCCCATACTGGTGAAAATTTAACAGATTTAGCAGTTACTGCCATAAAGAATATTCAAGACAAATTCAACTGCCGTATTCGCAGTTTTGTTACTGACAATGCAGCTAATATGGCAAGTATGAGAAAAGCATTAAAAACGAAAGACTGCATTGAAGTAGTGTGCTATGGCTGTTCAGCACATATTTTAAGTCTTCTATCAAAAGATTTAGAAATTCAGAGTGTAACAGAACATGTAGTACAGATAAATAAATATTTTCGTAATAATCAGTTTGCTAGAGCAAAATTCAATGAAAGTAAAGGAAACAAATCTGTTGGCTTAAGTTTACCCTCACAGGTGCGGTGGAACACCATGTGTGATTCTTTAGAGAGTTACATTAAGAACTGGCCGATTTTAATGCAGATTGTAGATGAAAATAGAGTTGCAATTGATGAAAGTATAAGATCAAAGGTCATGAATTTGAGTATTAAAAGAAATGTGGAAGACTTATTGCTTCGCTTGAAACCAATTTCAATTGCTTTAGACCAAATACAGAAAGATAGCTGCAGTATCGCTGAAGCCGTCGATATATGGAAAAAGTTGGAAACAGACTTAAAGAAAAACAAAGTCCTTGATAATTGCAAGAAATCTGTCATTAATAAATCCTTCAAAAACAGGTATGACCAAGCTTTGACACCAGTACATTTCTTAGCTTATCTTTTGTCCCCAACATTTCGACCAGAAAACTTATCTACAGAAGAAAAAAATAATGCTATTCAATTCATCAAAGAAAATTATGAAGACACATCTTTAATAACTATTCTCCTTAAGTTCATTGTTCGCGCAGAGCCATTTAATGGGCCGTTATTTGAGGATAAAGTTGTGAACAAAGTGGATGCTCTACATTGGTGGCAGTCTTTGTCAACTTTAAAAGACTGCATTTCATCAAAAGAACTATTAGTTATAGAACAACTCATGACTGCAAAGGCAACATCTGCGGGTGTTGAAAGAATTTTTTCTACCTTTGGTTTTGTACACAGTAAATTGAGGAATCAATTAGGGGTAGAAAAGGCTGCCAAACTGGCATTTCTGTTCAAATCGTTAAATAAATAAATATTATTGTTACTTTGTGTGATTAACATTTCTGTAAATCTTTATTTCTAATATTTTTCTTATCAAAGTTTTAATCAATTCTGCCATGTACTACTATGCTCTCAGTTATACACTTGGTAAGTACATTTTACCTAATTTAGATATTCTTGATTTGTAAAACAATGCTATATATCAATGTTTTAAACATCAATGTAGCAAAATTTAGAGTGATTTCAGTTAGTTTTTTTTTTTTTATTATTCTCTGGTGAAGTATGAGTTATATTTTATAAAATTATTCTTTGCAATGTTTTTTATTACAAAATATATTATATGTACTACAAATGATAACATATGGGAATAAAACTGGTTTAAACCGAAAAAACCTGGTTTAAACCAAAAAAACCCGGTTTTTTGGGTTTTTTCCTAAAAAACCTGGTTTTTTTCACACCCTGGTAATTAATATAAAATTAATTAATTAAAAAAAAAAAAAACATATCATTAAATTTTTTAGTAAGACTATTGGTCATTTTGTTTTTACAGTTCCACTTTCCTGCTTTTTATATTACTTTTCCTCTATAATTAACTATAATTCATTTGTTTAACTTATACTGTCTTATCAACAGATGAATGCAAAATAAACTTATTAACTGTGTCTATAATCTGCATTATCCTAATATTACCATCTACCTTCAAAATTAGTATCAATGAACTCTACACTTACTCAATAATATTGGTGTAATTATGCCCTCACTTTTTAACTTTTCAATTACTCCTCTATTTTTTCTCTAGATACATAAAATTTGAGTTAATATTTAAAGAAAATTGGTACCTCGTTTTCTTTTTATCTTACTTTAAAAATTTCATACTTAAATTTACCCAAGTTTCAATAAATAGCTCCTTAAACTTTACTTAACATATCTAATTTCAAATCACTTGTGTTTAGAGCATTTATCTTGATTAACTTTACATTAAATTTATTCATACAGTTTTTACCTAAAATAGGACCATCATATTTAATAACAAACACTTTGAACTTTTTACAAATGACTTTCAGAATTACATTGTTTCCGCATATAAAAAAAACTGTCTTTTGACAGAAAAGAAAGAGTTCTCGTAAACTCTTAAACAAAACAATAAAATCAAGTTCAGAACAACGTTGGAAGTTCTATAAGCATTTTCAAAAATAATACAAATCTCCATTGAAAACGTTCTATTAGGAATTACAAGAACTCCTCACAGCTACTAGACTTTTACACTCATTAAGAAATGGACTGAATATAACTGTCAGAGAAATATTATTATCAGACGATACATTCACAAACAATGATAATGAGACATGTAATGAGTAAGTGTATGTTACACATAGACTTTCCTCACTTTGAAATTTAAAACAGAAAACAATTAAATGCAGTATGTAACAAACTTGCCAAATGGCAACTAACGAGGAAAGTAATAACTCCAAAAAGCATCATAAGGTGGGCAATAAATGCTTTTGGCAGTTTAACAGCTGCAGGCTGTAACAAAATATTTCCTGTACCACTATAAGAAGAGCTAGATATAATCTCTGCAACATATATAGAATACATATATTGACATATAGAGCATGCCTAGCCTACGGTTATCAACGGAATAGAATCACTTATTATTACGTAGATAAAAATCATGCTTAATTAATGCATCATTTTGGGAATGCTCAATGAAACCAAAGTTTTTAAGAATGTTACAAAGATGATGCCCACAAGAATGGCTTTTAACTCTATTGCTATGGTAGCTATTTTTATTTACTTATCAAAGAGTGTATAACAAATATTATTATACACAAGCGGTTAGTAAATTCCCAGACACAATTATAGATTTGGAACAACAGAAGCTAAACACTATACACATGTAGTGTAGTAAATATAGACTAGCTGTTAATTCAAATAAAGTAGAGGTAGTAATGTTTACTAGGATAATAATAAGACTTGACAGTCTTTGCACATTTACCCTTTATGGACAACAAATTTAAGTCAGAGGTGAAATACTTAGGTATTATCTTAGGCAATAAACTGTAAACCACCTGACTAGGAAAGAAGGATTTGTAATTTATGCAGACGGCTCTAAGAAAACAGGAAAGGTATGTTTTGGCATTTGAGGATTAAAACCTTGCATATATATCAGCATGTTAATGGGCACAATACATTCTGTGTACCAAGTAGAGGTAATGACAATACTAATAGGAGCTTAAGTGATAGTCAAGTGATAGGTACCAGGACACAGTGGTGTGAATGTAATGAAGAAGCAGACTTTTTAGTGAGAAAAAGTGCAAAAAACACCTATATTAGACCAGAACCAGTGGTAGTAGTACTAACGGAGTAATCTCTCAAAGTACTACTCAAAGATTTGTATAAAGAACAACACAGGAAAATATGGAGTTACATTGTGGTACCCAGACATTCGAAAATGTTTATGAAGACTCTCGGTCTACTACTGAGAGATATCAATAATATGATTAAATATCAAATAAGCACTTTGACTAGACCACTAACAAAATACTGTCAACTGCTTAAACATATTTACATAATGGGAGTGACAGAATCAGCAGTGTGTAGAAAGTATGGAACAGAAGAGGATTCATATAACATTATATGTGAATATGAAACCTTAGCCACATCAAGATCTAAACACTTGGAAAAATCCTTTCTGATATTACTTTGACACATTTTTAGGAGTGGCCTATGTTCTATACGTATAGTGTTAGGTACACAAATAATTGTGAAAACACTTCAGTCGAAATACTTATGTGAAAAAATTGTATATTTTTATACCTAGACCAGAGAAAGAAGAAGATATGAACATTTGAAAAATAACTATTCATTTTCTTAATTAAATCATTATCTCATAAATAAATAAGCTAGTTAAATATACAGAGTATTCTTCAAGAAATATTATAGAAAATATAAAAGCTTTAATTTATTTTTTATAACAATAATAATTTTTTATTTGGCTACTCTGTAGAAAAATTAAATTTCTACTATCATCTCTTATCATCAACTTATGTTTTTCAAATGGCATTCTATTTATTTTTTTTATCATGAAGTTTAATTGAATAAAAAAAACTAGATAACATACTGTTTTTTTAGAAAACTATTAGTATATATAGAGAGAGATTAAACTAGTAATCATATTGACATTATTGGTTATTAAACGATTACCAAAATAAAAACAAACTAGTCTGACTATATAGTTACAATCTTGGAATCATAACTATTACTACAAAAATAAATTCTGCGATTTTTAAACATCAACACAAAACTGAATACATGGATATATCTGTAAATTTTCTAAATAATACAAAAATCCATGCAAGCTTTAACATATTCAAAACAAACAACATATTTTCAAGTGAAGCATATTATACCATTTAAAATAACACTTTTTTTGGCTTAAGTTATAAGACCTGGTTATAATTAATAAAAAATATATTTATACCTCATCAATGCACCAGTGTCTTGTCTATTAATACCATGACGTGTGATGGCCATCAAATGTCCTTTAGCTGTCATAACGTCACACAATAAAGCTAAATGTCGATAATTCACATACAGACCATAAAACTGTAATACAGTGTTCATTTCTTTTTCAACTGATTTTCGTACAGCTTCAATACCAAGTACCTAAGTAAAGTTTAGCATAAGTTAAATGGTAATTTAAGTCTTAATTGTTAAATTGTTACAGAAAATATTTCACAAATATCATTAGAAAATGTTCTAACGGAATCAACTTCTTCATCACTCAATACTTTCATTAAACTTGTGCCATCAGTTTCAAGAAGCCAATCACCAATTGCTTTAAAGTCTCCATTTTCAGTAATAATAAATCTTTTTTTAGCATCAGTTTGCGGCAGATGCATATAAACTTTTGATATGGCCTCAATACCCTAAACTCAATATAATGTTATTAAAAAAAAAAAAAACTTGACACATGTTACATGAGACATGGCAGAACTAAGTGATTTAAGTATCAAAAAGATTTTTTTTTAAACTAATAAAAACTATTCTATTTGCCTATATGAAGCCATAGGCAGTTCCATTTTAGGATATTTAATTCTTTTTTTTTTTTTTTTTAACTGTTGCTGATGACATGATGTCAGCCGCCCTGGAACTACCGTGAGGTATTGCTTCAAGGCGAAGGGTATTTAATTCTACAATTAACAAATAGTTATTGAAGTTTTTTACATAGTATCGGCTTGTGTACATAAATTAGTTAGATGAAATAAAAATTGTTTTTGTATTTTACCACTTGGATCATTAACACCGTCATGCATCACATTATCATTTGGATGAGATGAAAGTTAATATTGCAGGTAATAAATGATTTATTAAGTTATAGCGACCTTGTAAAGCTGTTATTAGAGTTAATATAAAAAGATAAACTTTATATTTTTATTATAAACAGTGTTTATAATTACCAATTAATATAACAAGTTAAATAATAGTTTAACTTACTTGCAAAGTCATATCCGATAATATATTAGCTTCAATACATCTGAGAAAAAGGACATCATCCATTTTATCAATTGCATTATCATTGTCACAACCATTAATTTTTCCATCAATACCATTCATTATACGTATACGTAAAATTAATTTTTCAGCATTATCATCATTGAATATACAATTAAGATCATCACCAAATCCAGCATTAATTTTTTCAGATATTGCCTCCATAGTTAATTTTTTATCTTCAAAGTAAAAAATTACACTAAGTTGATTTGTAAATTGTTAAAAAAATTTGTTAGGATTTATGAAATTACCAGTCATTCTTTTACGATCCAATTCCACTCGTAGTAACCAAGGTGATATCCTAGAAGGGTCAAAATCAGGCATTTCATAATAAACATTAACAAACTCTTGATCTTCTCTTATAATTGTATTTAGGGGATCAGGATCATAATAAATAGAAGTGTTTGCTGTAACTTTTCTTAATGTTGTGTGCTCTAGGCGACACAAAACAACTTTTGCTTTTTCAGCATCTCTAGCAGCTCGACCTTTCAAGAACACAGTCAGTGAAGGAGCTTTTGGTTTTTTACTTATATTAATTATTTCCTAAAATTTTTAAAACACTATTTATTTTAATTCAAAATATTGTACGTTTTTTTGTTAAAACAGAATATTTAAACACTCGGTAAATATATTATCATATTACATATATGTTTATAATTCTTTAATTTTTTTTTTAATCTGTATCAATCAATTCTTCTTCTTTTTCCTCGCCTTAATCTTAGCTTAATCTTATCTTACTCTCCTTCTTTTTTCTCACCATAATCTTAACTATTTAGGGTCGGCCACCCTTATTCTAATCTTCCACATCAACTACGCACACATCAGCCATCCTCTAATCGCATTCAATAACATCCCTCCATTTCTTTTTTGGTCTACCTCTTCTTCCTTCAAAATGTATATCCATAACTATTCTTTCAGCTTCTGATTCCTCTCTCCTCATAATATAACCAAACCAACCAAGTCTAATTTCTCTCATCTCATCTATGATAGACACTACACTAATACTACCTCTTATATGTTTGTTCCTTATCCTATCTTTTCTAGTCACTTCACTTATCCATCTAACCATTCTCATCTCTACTCTACTTTCTTATCAACTGCCCAACACTCATAACTATATATCATAGCTGGACTCACTACAGTCTTATAGAAGTTACCTTTCAGCCTCATTGGAATTCTTTTATTACATAAGACACCAGACACTTCTCTCCACTTCAATCACCCGCACTTAATGCTGTGTCTTACATATTCGTCAATACCACTGCTCTTTTACACAACTAATCCTAAATACTTAAAACTTTCCACCTCTCCTATTACGTCCTCGCCTATTGTCATTGATCTCATTTCATCTACCTCATGTTCTCCTTTGTGAAACTCTTACTCTATACACTCTGTCTTGCTCCTACTTATTCTTAAACCTTTTAAACCTTTTACCAAATTTTCATTCTATGACTCATAAGCTTTATGCCTCTATAATTTCCACACTCCTGTATGACTCCTTTACCTTTAAATATCAGCACCACAATACTATTCCTTCATTCATTTGAATTTCACTTCTAATAAGATTTTATTTAAAAGATCCTTCAATCACCTTATGCCAACGCCGCCTAATATTTTCCATACATCTACTGGCACTTCATCTGGTCCTACTGCATTATTGTTTTTTTTTCATTGATGCCACAGCCTCTCATATCTCTTTCTCGCTAATTACTGACCAAACACTATATATCTAATTATAATATATAATCTATTATTTTTAGTACCCCCACAATTTTTTAAATAATTTATTATTTAATAAAATAACATGCTTGATTAACTAAAAATCATCTCTTGATATTATAAGGTAAGTTCTAAAAAATAATTTAAAATAATTTGGATAGAATTAAATGGAAAAATTATTTTAAAATTATAGTTTTATGAAGTATATTGTAATTAGTATTAGTTAATGCTATAGTTTATGTAGTCTTTAAGCACGCAGTAAATGTAATATTATAAATTAACTAGCTAATAAACAATTAAAAACTTTAAAATAAATAAATTTACGGATGATATTGAAATATATAAAACTTAACTATTATTATAGTGACAGTTAACTTTAATCTTATAAGATAAAATAATGAATTATATTATGATTTTATCAAACTACCCAATAGATTAATGTTTTATTGAAAGTTGGTTCTGTTACAATACCACCCATACCTCTTTCTCACTAATTAAAACTACCAGTTCTTCGTTTAATGAAATATCCTCTAATACAGTGTTTCCCAATCGATGGTACGCGAACCCCCAAGGATTCTCGAAAATAATATTGTAATGACAGAATTTTGAATAGCCAAAGGAAAATTACCGAGAAAACCGTAACAAAACATCAGATAAATATCCTGGATTCTAGAACAACTAAATTTTAAGCAACTTAAAAGGGGAAATTTTTCTTTATGTTATTTCAGAAGTTTTATCTAAATTTATGCAGATCTGTAATCTCTTTGTAAACCTCCTGAGTGAGGCTAATGTACCATTTACTGGAATTCAAACACCTTATCGAGTTTTAAATAAATAAATATAGTTTAAAAAAACTGAAAAACACTCTTTTAAAGCATATCGAAATAAAAAGTTAAAAATAATTTTTAAAAGAGCTTAAAACAATAATGAACGAAAAATACTAGTGTTATTGTGAAAAAAAGTGTGGGGGATTTGAACACCCGACGATTATATGCTTGCTAATATTGCCATAAAAAACCAATTAGCTACCTGTATTTGTAATCCCTTATGTATTATACATGTATATTAACTCAAAAAAAAAAATTGAATCTTTAAATGTTTATATCTAATAATAAATAATAAAAATTTGTTGTATATATATAATATTGATGATACGCCCGCATGTACAGGTACAAAAACCAAAAAATATACAGGAATATAGTGTTATCGGCGAGTGTTGGGCGGGGTGGGGCGAATGCGTTACGATAGTCTAGTCTCCAGGCCACAGACGACAGGATACACGAGATAATAACACGTGGCGCGTGGAGAGTTATAATCATTTTACAAACATACAGATGAATCTAAAATAAGCGTGTTAACAATCGGTAATGGTTAAAGTCCCACTGCCTTCAATCTCAGAATTACCTATAAACTGAAACTATAAATCAGCTGAGTTTTTCAAAAATGCTTCATTTGATTCGTTTCTCTTTCTGTGAATAGCCACAGTGACAATGAATAACTTTCAACAATCATAATACCTCAAGTTTATTATGGATCAATGGTTCAAAACGGGTTGCTTAGAAGCAAATAGTGAATGTCGTAGTGATCTGCCATTTCCACAGACTAAAAATATAGACAAAAATAGTGAACGTGGTGAAAAAAAAGGAAATATGACAATGACTATTTACAAATGGGTTTTTATTTTACTGGCGAAAAGTCCGAACCTAAACCACTGCAGCGAGTTCTTGCCAACAGCAGTTTGAAACCTTTCCTTCTTCGCAGGCATCTTGAAACGAAACATCCGACGTACAAGGTTAAGCCTTTCGAGTATTTCAAAAGAAAATTGGCAGATAATAAAAAGTGTAGTGTCTCTCTTCTCCTGTTTACAAACGATGATAGTAGAATGGCTCTTGAGGCATCTTTTCGAATAAGTTACAGAATTGCAAAATCTGGACAGGCACATACAGTGGCAGAAAATTTTATTGGGCCATGTTCAAAAGATATTGTCAAATGTATGATAGGAGAAAAGGCAGCAAGGAAAATAGAACTGGTTCCCTTATCAAACAATACGGTGTCCCGAAGAATTAACGATTTGGCAAATGATGTTCAGAACAAACTCTTGAAGAGAATCAAATAGAATCATTTTGCGATTCAGCTTGACGAGTCAACCGATGTAGCAAACGCCGCAGTATTGCTTGTCTACGTTAGATATGTTTCCACGAATATCATTCAAGAAGATGTTCTTTTTGCAAAACTTCTGAAAACCTACACAACTGGAGAAGCAATTTTTGATCTGATCAATGGTTATTTCGAAAAAAAATGGAATAAACTGGTCCTATTGCGTGGGTGTATGCACAGATGGTGCAAAATCAATGACAGGAAATTTTTCTGGTTTCGTGGCACAGGCAAAGAAAATCAACGACAAAATTGAATGGACTCATTGCTGTATTCATAGACAAGCACTTTAAATGATGCTGTAAAAATTGTTAATTTTATAAAATCTCGTGCTACGAATTCTCGTTTATTTAGTGCGCTTTGCGAGGACTTTGGAAGTGATCACATTTTTTACTCTTACACATCGAAGTTAGATGGCTTTCCCATGGTAAAGTGTTGACACGCTTGTTTTAGTTGAAATCTCAAGTTCAAGCTTTTTTTATTGATCATCCGATTCATTTGTCCTCTTGTTTATTCGATGATCTTTGGCTGCAGAAGCTTGCATACTTAGCTGACATCTTTTCTAAATTAAATGAATTGAATCTATCATTACAAGGCGCAAGTGTAAACATTTTCACTGTATATGATAGAATTGAGACTTTGCTAAAGAAGTTCAATTTCTGGATCCAATGCCTGCAATTAAATGAGTACGAATGTTTCGGTTCTCTCTGCACTTTTTTATCAGAAAATTCAATTGTACTTGACGAAAACATTAAAAAATATATAATTGAACATCTGAAGCATCTTCAATTAACTATCGATGACTATTTTCCTGATAGATGCAATATATTCCGCTCGAACAGAACAGCTGGATACGTAATCCTTTTCAAGAAAATTTAAATTTAGAAACCTCTCTTACTCTTCTAGAAAAGGAAAAACTCATAGAATAATCCTGTGACAATTCACTAATAGCTAGTTTTAAAAATTAATCTTTAATCAACTTCTTGCTTAGTATCTCTAATGAATATCATACTCTTTCAAAAAAAGGTGTTCAAGTCCTTTTACCCTTTTGCACAACATATCTATATGAAAAAGGATTTTCAACAAATACTTATTTGAAATATAAATACCAAAATAGATTGAATGCAGAACCTGATGTGAGGCCGAAATTGTCCGATATTGAGCCCAACTTTGCATTGCTTTGTTCTATGAAACAGCCACAAATATCACATTAAGGGTGTTCTTCATACTAGTTAAGTTAAGTCTTATCAAATATGTTTTCGTTTCTTGGCTAATTTGAAGGATAAATGTCCTTCAAAATTTGATTGCTTTTTTTCACCTTCCAGTATAAACCAGGGGTTCGCAAAATTCTTCAGGATCTCGGAAGGGGTTTTGCAATGAGAAAAAGGTTGAGAAACGCTGCTCTAATATATACACCTTACTTTATGATAATCTTTAGACTGTTTTACTTTTGCAAATCTACAGATTTTTTTTCATCTTACTTTAGTTGAAGAAAAATGTAGATTATGAAATATGTTCATATAGTCAAAAGAATGTAAAAAAATGTAAAGTAAGAAATGGGTATTATGTACTTCATGTTCCCAAAGGATAGTAACAGATTATTTAGTAGTAAAGTATAGGCTATACAATTAAAGACATTTCCAATGCATATTGTGTGTTAAAACAATTAATTTAACAAGCCTTTATTATTTATGTATAATTGCTATAGAAATTATTGCTATTACGTCACATTTTTACTAGGGCGCGCCACCATTATGCTGGGTTTTATTAACTTAAATGTTAGAAATACACATGTTAAGTTATAGATTTGAGGTAAAGCTAAGGTAGTATTGGTTATCTATTAAGGGCAGAGGATATCTATCTTTGATTATCTTCCTATTTAACATTCTGTAATCTACACAGAGATGTAGAGAGTTATCTTTCTTCCCGACTAAAACTATTGGATTAGTATAGTCAGAACAGCTAGGTCTAATAATGTCTTCTTGTAACCATTCCTCTGTTTGTCAACTTGACATGTTTCTGCTGGAGATTGGCGCTGTAGTCTTTGATATACAAGTTTATCAACCATGAATAAAATAACTGTTTCAATCGGTGCATATTTTACTTTATTCGGTTCATAATCTTGCACTATTTTATTAATCTCCTCTGTATAAGTTGATGAACCTATGTTAAGCTCATTACAAGATATATTAATAGACATGATTTGATTTTCTTCTTCTTCAAATTTAGTTATTCTCACACACTTAGGATTTATGTACAGTTCAGCACTTGTTTGAAATATAACTTTTCCTACTAACAGGTCACATGTAATGGCTTCATCAGGAACAACATAAATATCAATAGTATATGATGATCCATCAACACTTAATTTGCAAGTAAATACACCTTCTGTGTAGAACTTAACCCTTCCTGGTCCTCTCTCCTAGTAAAGTTTTATCTTTATGAATTGTGACTTCACCCAACTTTAACATAAATGACCTTCGATAGGTCATTTATGAAGATCACTACCAGTAACAACTAAAGCATTAGTTTCTACACCTAGTATATCAACTAATTTACTTATACAATTAATAGAATATATGACATCATTAACTTGATTAACTTGTACTTTAACATTTTCATCTCTTTGACTTCTATCAGAATTTGGTCGATTAGTTGATGGGCAATAAGAACATGACGATGCTTTGTGACCAAATTCCTGACATAAAAAGCACTTAAATCCTTTACTAGCATCAGGACAAGAACTAGAACAATGACCCTTCGTACCACAGTTGTAGCAACGATTAATTTTTGCTGATTCACCTTCATGTTTATATGATATAAATAAAGCATTAGATGATTCATTCAATTTTTTTTTCGCTAAAATTTATGTTTGACTTTCTATGTGCCCTTATGTTTAACTTCATTTTCTTATACAATTTAAGTTTCAATTTTAGCTCATCAATGGATGTAGCGCCATACAATATCATCTTGTTGACTTTTAAGTCTCTTATACCAGTTATGATATAATCAATAAGAGAATCTTCTTCAATATTGCCTAGTTGAGCAATCTGAATTTTGAATTTTGAAAACATACTGCTAATATGATTCATCACTTTTCTTAAATCGCTCAGACAGGCCCCCAAAAACATGTGGGAATTACAACAGGAAACCACAGGAACAGAGCAAAGATGCAATACTATTATTAAATACATATATATTTAATCACACACAAAAGTCCAGTTAAACATTCACAAACATATATAAAACAAAACACACGTATGAATAAAAAAAGCACACAAAAACACGTCTTAGTCGACTCACAACTTGATTTAATTTTCCCTTCTTATAATACTTAATGATACTATCTGTCTGCCTCCAGACCATTGTAGTGGTGCCATCTAGACACCAATGGTGCCCACGTATATATATATTTTTGAAAATCTAATTGTTAATGTTTAAAAAAAGATGACTTTTAAACCACATAAAATTAAATTTACTTTAAGATGACAAAAGAAAAACATTATTTATCTGTGTATTTTCAAACATATACATATTGAAGTGCTTTACAACAGAGACTGACTTTAATTATTGTCAGATAGCAATTATTACTAAACTAACAAATGTTATCTTCATTACTACGTAGAGTCTTGATTGTACTCAATTTTTTAATAACAACTTAATTAAATAAAAAGATTGAATGTATCTGCTAAATAATTATGGGGGTTAAAATAAAGGTAGGGAGTTAACTTTTTTTCAGGAGAATCAATTGGAAATATTTATTTCAAATATATATGCAAATTTTAAAAATATATGTTTCATAGCATAAGTTTATTTTTATCATTAATGCCATAGAACATATTAAATTTTAAATATTTATGTTTGAGTTAACTCATTGAACCCAAAACACCACTTTTGAGCTAATTCCAAACATTTTAAAACATATAAATAAAAACATACTTTTAATCTAGGTACTCCAAGAGTTACATTTTTGGAAGAAACACCAGCAAAATGAAATGTGTTCAATGTCATTTGAGTAGCTGGTTCTCCCAAACTCTGAGCAGCCAAAGCTCCCACCATCTCTCCAGGAGCAACCTATTTAATATATGAAAATCATTTAAAGACTTTTTAAATTAGAAATTTAATACCTGTGCTTGCTTAAATCTAGTTTCAATCTCTCCAATCAACCATTCAAATGCCTCAGAGGATAAACGAAATTTTTCTGATACTAGTTTAGTACACAAGGTAGAACGTACTAGACATTGGAATAATAAAGTAGCATTTTGATTAGCCTGTTTACTTAACTCATCTTGTCCAGCTACAATAACACATTTGTCTAATAATTCTCTCACTCCTACAAAAAAATTCATTACTTTTCCATCTATCTAAATATGTAATCATTATAATTTATTTTAACTAATTGCCTTGCACAACATTAACAGGATTTAAATCTGTTTGTGTTCGCTTATTAATGTGAAAAATTTTTTGAACATTCCATATCATTCGTTTTAAATTACAAGGCAATACCACATTGCTTTCACCAGATGGGAAAATTTCTCTAAGTGTATTTCTATCCTGAACTAATTGTTCCCACTCATTTTCTAATTCAGCTACTGTAACATTGCTACCTAGCAAATCTTTTAACACATCTTCTGTAAATGTTTTTTGTAATTTTTTCTCATTGGAAATATTAAATTTAAATTCTTTTTCAAAATTTTCATGAGATGGCTCAATTGTAGCAATACTTTGAAATTCTACTGCCTCACCACATAATCCATCTTCACCATAACGTAACTGAATTAGCTGACCAATCGAATTACGTACTGTTCCATCATAATGTACCATCACAGACTCCATAGCTTTCATTAATCGTCGTTGAATATAGCCTTTATAAATAATTTAAATGTAACTATAAAAACCTTTTATAGTTCAGTTAATTTAAATATGCAATACCCGTTTCAGCAGTTTTTACAGCAGTATCAATCAAACCTTCACGACCTCCCATAGCATGAAAAAAAAATTCTGAAGGTGTAAGTCCAGCAAGGTATGAATTTTCAACAAAACCTCTAGATTCTGGTCCATAATCATCTTTAATGAAATGAGGTAAGGTACGTTTACGAAAACCAAATGGAATACGTTTGCCTTCTACGTTTTGTTGTCCTACACAGGCAATAACCTAAACATATAGATAATTAAAAAATCTTATAATTAATGACTTTTTAAATTTCTTAAGTTTAAAAAATTAAACAACAAACATAACATTTTAACCTGAGAAATGTTAATATTAGATCCTTTAGATCCTGCTACAACCATAGCTTTAAGGTTATTATACTCAGTTAAGGATTTTTTAGCAGAGCCTCCAGTTTTATCACGAGCATCATTAAGAATTCTATTTACATGATTTTCAAAAGTCTGACGTAATGTGTTACCAGGTGTAGACTCAAGATTCATGTTATGAGCTTTTTGTATCACTCTAATCACATCTTCTTTTGCTTTCTTAATAGCTTTTTGAATCTCTAAATAAGTCTGGGGATCAGCAATTGTGTCACCAATACCAATTGAATGCCCTTTTTTAAAAAATTGAATTAAAAAATTTATTTCTGAACACCTTATAAAATGAAAATTTTAACTAAGGATTTAAATACCTTCATATAAAAGCCAGCTATTAACAACAGTTTGTATGTTACCATAAAATTCACCACATACTTCATGTCCTAATTCTAACATACATATATGAAGTAATGAACCAGCTGAAGTACCCAATGTTCTTTTACATAATATTCCCATTACTAATTCACCATGTTCAACCATTACCTAAAAATAAAAATTAATTACAAAATACTGATTAACTTTTTTTTTAATTTACCTTTGTATCTCCAGGAGATATCCATTTATATGGACTACTATCTTCATCATCTGGATGAGTAGAATGTGTACGTATTAAATTAACATTACCAGGAATAATTAAAGAAAACAATTGTTTTCCAGTCCACATGGGTTTAGGCTTTAAAATACAAGGAGTAGGCATTTTTCCATCCCAAATCGGTAAATGCATTAATAAATTCATCATTTGTTCCTAAAGAAATAAAAAATAATATAGATTTTAGTATCATTAATATATTTTAAATAAAAATATCTAGGTATTTTTTTTTACAATTAAAGCATTTTTTAATTATCTTATTTTAATAAAAATAATATATATCAATAAGGCAGCCAAAATTCAGTGAACCTTTAAGTGTATTATATACCAAGAGCGTAGGTAAAGAAAGGGTAAGGGGTTTAAACTCTCATAAAAAAATGTTTACATGTAATCAAATAACATTGGATATAATGTGAAAGGAGTATATATATTCAAATCTCCACATAAATAATATATACCTATATCTTTGATACATATTAGTATAAAAAATTAATATTCGTAAATATTAATTGCAAAAAATATTAATTAACTTTCAAGTATTACAAGATGCCATAGATTATCTCATGAGAGAATATGAGATATATAACCTTTCTTTATAAAAATAAATCTTTAATAAAGATGGATTTTAGAATAAGTAATAAAAGATTTTTTTATGTAATAACAGAAATTCGATTAAGTTTTTCATCAGATCATTATGATATGTATTTACTACAGTAAAAAAAAATTATGTTTTTTGTACTTAGTACCTTTTCTTAACACCACAAATAATGAATTGATTAATATTATTATTCATATTATTATATTACTTTAATGTAAATAGTATAAACAAACATGACCAGGATGGACAAACATATGTAATCACCACCTATGCTTTCTGTGCAATTTATATTTACCTATGTTACACAATTAGATTGTAATGAGAAAACAAATCAAATTTTTGTTTTTGTTTATCATTGCATAATTTTAACATAAATACCAAAAAAAAAATTATATCTTAAAATTTAATTAATTGATTCAATTTATCTATCTATTCCTTTAGGGTCAAGTTGCTCTTAATTATACATTAAAATAATTCAAATAATTTCAGTTTTAAATTTGAAAGTTTAACTTGGCCTCTATTTTCACTATTACATGCTACTATATCTCATTTCATATAAAAAACTAATGAAATTATAATTATAGAAAACAAAATTATAAATGATAAAGTTATATCTTTCAATATACTATGTTTAATACACTCTTTTGTAGCCTGAAATAAATTACATTTGTTTAGAGACACAGGGGATAAAAAAACATTGCCTAATAGAAGATGACCTCATAAGTTGAAATTTAGCTCTTCACATGATAAATAGATTAATTGAACAAAAAACCATTTTAATTGTGTCTGTAGATATAATTTGAAGTTCCTGCACCACTTAACTATAGACTTCAAACCAGTAAAAAAAATTTGCTTTCATCAATAAAATATAAGTAAATAGATTCACAAATTTAGAAGAAAATTGTATTTTGTTAATACTATTGGACACCAAATTTAAAGATAAAGTATTCACTGATCAAAATGTAAAAAATAAAGCCTAAGAACTCCTCATTCAAAATAGTATTTAATAATAAAGCAAAAAAAAAAAAAAATGTTACATTTTTAAGTTTTATTTAAATTTTAAAATAATCAGTTTTTAGAACTTTTCTTATAAAAATTTGAATGGGTCAACTTTAGGACGAGTAATTATTGAGTTACAAGCATTTTAATATATAGAGTATGTAATTTGGGCAGATAATGCTTTATAAATAATGCATACTCTGGTGGGGTATTCTGTATAATACTTAATAATAAAATATTTATTAATTATGTAATATAGGTCATTATTTTATAAAACTGAAAACAAAGCATTTTTGTAATGTTTGGTTTAACTATGAATTCCTTAATCTATTATTACTAAAATATAATATAGTCTATTATTTGTAAACCTAGAAGTAGAACACTTTTGTAATGTTTGGATTAATTGTAATTCCCCGAATTATTGTTACTAGATCAGGAAGTAAATATTTATAAACCTTTTTGAAAATTATTATTATATGAATTTTATAAAAAGACAAACAAAATATTTTAGTATATAAGATGAAACGGAATGAATTAAATGGGGGGAAAGAGAAGACCTCGGGAGTACCGAAGGTAATCTCTTTCCGTGTGGTACGTTTGTGACTTTAAGTTTTTATTTTGTGTATTATTTATTTATCCGTTTTTAAGTGTATCAATATTTTATATGTTTTTATTTTGATTGATTATATCTTTATTAACTATATTTTGCGTTATTATTGAACTACTAAAAATATAAGTTAGAACAAAAAAGATTGTTCAATATATTAATACAACAATTACATTATTTGTTGTTTGCTGACCATATAGTGTTAATAGGAGAAAATAGGAAGCAAAATGATCAAAGACTAGAGGTGTGGAGATCAGCTCTTGAAGAAAAAGGTTTAAGAATAAGTAGGAGCAAGACAGAGTGTATAGAGTACAAGTTTGATGTAGGAGAACACGAGGTAAATGAAATAAGGAGACCAGTGACGATAGGCAAGGACATGATTGGAGAGGTGGAAAGTTTTAAGTTGTGCAAAAGAGAGGTGGTATTGACGAGGATGTAAGACACAGCATTAAGTGGGGGTGGTTGAAGTGGAGAGAAGTGTCTGGTGTCTTATGCGATAAAAGAATTCTAAGAGGCTGAAAGGTAACTTCTATAAGACTGTAGTGAGTCCAGCTATGATATATAGTTATGAGTGTTGGGCAGTTGATAAGAAAGTAGAGCAGAGATGAGAATGCTTAGATAGATGAGTGGAGTGACTAGAAAAGATAGAATAAGAAACGAGCATATAAGAGGGAGTATAGGTGTAGCGTCAATCGTCAATAAGATGAGAGAAAATAGACTTAGATGGTTTGGTTATGTTATGAGGAGAGAGGAATCGGAAGTCGTAAGAACAGTTGTAGAAATGAATGTTGAAGGAAGAAGAGGTAGAGGAAGACCAAAAAAGAGATGGAGGGATGTTATTGAATGCTATATGAGGACATCTGATGTGAGTGTAGAGGATGTGGGAGATCGTGTCAAGTGGAAGTTTAGGATAAGGGTGGCCTACACCAAGTAGTTGGGATTAAGACGACAAAGAAGAAGAAGAAGACTAATTACATTATTTCGGTGAAAACACTTATGTGAAAAAACCAAATTAATAAAATTTGATAGGATGTGCACAAAATTGACCTTCAGGTCATGGTTCATGGGCAGTTCTTGCACACCTCTCTAACAACTAAAATAAACTAATAAACTATATATGATCTATTTATTATAGTTGTGTGACTAGTCTATACAAAAATAAAACATCTTTACAGCATAATATACTCATACACTATAAAAAATGTATTACCTTTTCAAGAAAAACATCTCTTTTAGTCATTTTTCTAATTGCTGTTAGTGTGTCTTGAACAATCCCCATAACAGGCTTATTAGATTGAGGTGTAATAATTTGCCTGGAAGTAATATGAATATTTTCTACTTCAGCTCTTGTTTCCATGGATTGTGGTACATGGAGATTCATCTCATCACCATCAAAATCAGCATTATATGGTGAGGTACAACTAATAAATAAATGAATACTAGTATGTTAATGACGATGAATATAAACTAGGGTGGGCTGAAAATCAAATGTAATTTTTTTTAATGCTACCTACTAATTTTCTTTTAAATACTCATGAAAATTAACTATTTAAATTTGGTACTAATCCGTTAAATTTAACCCATGCCCTTAAAATTCTTAAGTTGATTGATGAGGCAATTTTAGAAAAATAACTTAACATTGTCTAATAACTTTTTTCTTCTAACATGATTACTAATTTTATGATTTATAAGTATAATACATGATTAAATACATATTTTTGAAATTAAATTTAGTATAAAATTGATATTCAATATTTTGTATTATAATTCTCGCAGAGAAATTATAAAAAAATTACAATGTAGTTTTATACTTTTTTACATCTTAAGAAAACGAGTACAAAAATTGAAGGGCTTCATGCAAAATTTTTTAAAAAATATAATTTTTGTAAAATGTAATTTTTTGTTAATTATGAATAAATAGTCTATAAAGAATTTTCATCATAGTAAAAAATACTTTTCTAAAACATTTTTTTGTGTTGTTTTCAAATCTGCAATTAAATATTTTCTATTGCTTCTTTTTTGAAATTATGAATAATTTGTTAAAAAATTAGTATTTTGAAATATTTGACTAAATTTGTAATATTAAATTTTTTTTTTCAATATATGGTGACTATGAGTTCAACTAGATTGATTGGATTCTTTTTATATGTTGATAATTAAAATTAGTCCAATGAGAGATGTTTAGAATTCAAAATTAAAAATGAATGATTTTAAAAAAATATGGGGGGATATGTTCTATAAACCCTCTTTTTTTTAAATACCAATGCAGTTTACACCAATTTTAAAAAAAGCAATTTAAATTTTTTAAATTTTTCAATATTTACACAAAATTAAACTTTTTTCTTTAACTTTGATGTCTGTTTTCACCATAAAAACAAATTACAGTAGTCAAATTTTTTTTCAAATTAAAGTATATTACATAAGCTGTAACCCAACCTAATAAAAGGTACATATCAATTGTATTTAAAATTTTATTTTCATTTATATTCATCTATTTTTGAAAAGTTATGATAGTCTTAAGTAAAAAAATTTCTAAAATTACCGATTTTAAAAATTTCAATTATTTTGGGGATTTTTTCCAATTATAAGAAACATGGAAAATTTTTGAAAGTAATGTCTTTGGCTAGATACAAATTGTAATATTTTGACGCTTAGTTGGACAAAATCAATCCAGTTGATTTGAGAATTTGCGGTAACTGACACAAAAAAAAAATCATCATAGTAAAATTAATACATTCAATTTTTGATGCCCACCTTTATATAAACATTATTAATATAGTACTATATAACGGAATATAAATAATTAAAAAAACTTCTCTTTAGGAGAAGTTTCCTACAATATCCCTTAGTGGGTTGTATAAAAGATTAAAAGATGGTGATGAATATTTTAAATATTTAAAACAACTTTATACCTTAAATTCATTCGAAAAGTAGACCAAGGTAAAACTCGTACATGATGACCCATCATACTCATCTTATGCAATGTAGGTTGTCTATTAAAAATTACTAAATCACCATCCCTAATATGTCTTTCAACTTTATAGCCACATTGTAAATGTATATCTGAAGGTCGAGGGTGAAAACGCAAATCAATTCTTTCTTCATTGTCTCGTATTATATATTTAGCACCAGGATATTGAGAATTACCACGTCGAACTAGTTCAAGCATCCTACATTTATACAAATTATTAACACAAATTAAGTAAATTATACATATCTAGTAAAAAAATTATTTAAAACATTAAAAAAAATAAACCAAACATAGTTAATGTCTTAAATATAAATGAAATAGAGAGTATAATTAATTAATCAATAATCTTATTAAATATTATTATTTATAATATACATTTCACTCACTGATCAATATTAAATGGCGTGACAATTTCAGGAAATGTCAAATTTTGAGCAATTGAACGAGGAATTCCAACTTCATCTATACGCAAATTTGGATCAGGTGTTATAACTGTACGAGCAGAAAAATCAACACGTTTTCCCATCAAATTTCCTCTAACTCTTCCTTCTTTGCCCTTTAAACGAGCTTTCAATGCTTTCAATGGTTTTCCAGATTTTTGAATAGCTCTATAAAAATAGTCAATGAATAGTTGTTGATTTTATTTAAAAAAAAACAAAATTATTCATATTGAATTAAACTATATATGTAAATATAATTATTTTATAATATTTCTGAGATTTGTTTTTGAACTTAATTTACTGCACTTCATCTTAGTATTTAGTTCTTAGACATTTTTTATGGTTCACTTTAATAATTACAAATTATAGTTGAATACTTTCCAAAAACAAAACAAACTTTTTAAGTACTTTCTCATTAAAAATTACCTGAATAAAAACTAAATTTTTACTGGTTCAAAACCATTTATTTTCACCTTGCTCCGACTTTACCTCATAGTGTCTTGTATAAATTTAAAATTTTTTATTTAAGGCAATTGTTAAATAAGCTCAATTCAATTTTAATGCATGATTATCTTTGTAACAATTTTAAATTTAAAAGCTATAACTAATACTAAGTAATTTTACCTAGGTAGTCCAGGTAAATCATTATCCATTAGTGTAGCTACATGATACTGCAGCATTTTAATATTATCTGTTAATAGATGGTTAGAAGTACCGGTTTGCTCAAAATGAATTATTTCATTATTGCATTTTACTATGTCGGCAAGCTTGTAAGTTAAATCGTCCTTAAATTATATAAAAAAAATTATTAAAATATTTATTTACAATAGAGCTTAGGAATTACTTGATTTCTTGTAGTTCCATGCATCACAATTGCTGGTCGGACAGATAAAGGTGGAACTGGTAATACAGTAATAATCATCCAGTCAGGACGAGCAAATTTAGGGTCCATACCCAAAATAACTACTTCTTCGTCATTTATGTGTTTTAAAATATCAAGCACACGTTCAGTGGTGAGAAATAATTTTTTCTCTTGAGAATCTTCATTGATATGTTTCCATTCGGCTGTAAGATCTAAACCAATTTGTCGAATGTTTGGTTGATAGCGACCACAACCACCATGGCTTGGTGTATTAGGCTAAAAATTAAAAAGATTTTTAACAAATAAAGTACACAGATATAATATAATATAAATATATTATTATACTCAATCTGTATGTTTCTTAATTATTATAACAAAAAAATTTCAAATAATAAACTTTGATCATAGTCCAAAAAAATATAGCAAAATTTACATAATTAATTAAAAAGGTTTATTCTTTTCCTGAACAATTGGCAATTTGGAGTTAGAACTTTTACAATTAGATTGACATTACCATTCTTACTACTGTATTTAATATTGTATAAACTATTTTATATTAAAATTCTAATAATGTACTTACAGATATGATTGGATCATTAATATTTTCTTTATTTATATCCAATTCATTGCCTCCCTCGCAAATACTTTTTCCTTTACATAAATCATAAATAAATAGTAATCTTTTTTTTGGTTGACCTTTAGTTTTCATAATAATTTCTTTCACTTTAGAATGTGTCTAAAGTAAAAATATATATTTATTTAAATTTAATATTTAAATACTCAGACACCTATCTATAAATAGAATATCAAATTAACATGTTTTTTGTTTATATTTTTATGCGTTTTCTCAATTTGGAGAGGACTTAAAAAAAAATATTTTATTAAATTTTCATTCTTAATTCGTAAATTACAGAAAATTTTAATTGAGTTAAATAGAGTACAAATACTTAATATAGGATTGGTTGGGTACAAATATTATTTGTAATATTTATTGTTTGTCGTCTAATTATCATAAGTAACATTTTACTAAAAATGTTTAGATTGAATTGATTTTAAGTATCCAAAAGTTACTTTCATGTTTAAAAAAAAAAAACAAATTGTTGATAAAATCTACTATAAAAATGCTAATATCTAAATATCTGAAGGGATAGTGACTTTTATAGTAATAGAATATTGGAAAAATTTGGCAAGTATTACATAAATAATATAATAATAATTAAAAGATAGTTTTTTTTTTCATTATACTCATATTTCAAAAGTCACTATTGATACTTACAGGGCTAACTAGAAGTTTGGAGCAATAGAAACACACACACCGTAATATTTTAATAATTTTAGAAATAAATCCAACATGAAAAACGGGTTTGGCAAGTTCAATATGACCAAAATGACCACAACATTCAGTCATATTACCTAAAATAAGTTAAAATAATTAAATAAAAAATATTTCTATATTATAGAAATATTAAAATTTGACTTAAAGTATAAATTAAAATATTTTAAAACTACTTTTAATCACATGTAATATTCAAATTACATGATGATTAGTAAATATCTGATTTATAAAATAATTATTACTAGTAACTTAACAATAATGAACAGTCAAAATTAGTTAAGATTATAATATTTAAACTTCAAAATACATAAAAATTATCTAAAAAATCTGTATACCTGCACATGTTTGACATCTAGAAAATCGATCTGTGACACCTTGTCGTGGATCCATTAGACCACCAAGTTTTGGTTTACCTCCTTCCAATGTTTCAGCAAAGCAGATACCTCCTTCTGTTACAGACATACGTCTCTAAAAAAAATTTCAATAAATTTAAAAAGTACCCTAAAACATAATACACCTAGGCTCTTATAATGTTTAAATATTTATTTTATGACCCCTAATTATAATTAAGGGTAGCCTGGCCTAGTAGGCAGAAACGTATGTTATGGAGCACAGGGTTCCAGATTTGATCCCCAATGGTGCCAATGAGATTTTTCTTGTGATTTTCTCATTAGTAATGTGTGGTCTATGGCGTAAACTGGCCATAATACCCATCCTGTCTATTAATGGCCTAAGCAAAAACCGTCTTTGACTCCTTAATATGTGAAAGAGTGCCACTACTCTTTCTAGTATGATAAGTTTGAGAAATAGAAGGATGTAAAATTGATCATTATTTTTTAACCTAAAACATAATTATTCTAGGCTCTTTAAACATTAAAATATTTATGTTTCAAATAACATCAGGAAACCTGCAACTAATATAGAAAACAAGGAGGAAATCATAGGAAAATTATAATTATTTAAAAAAAAAGTCATTTTTTTAAAAATAGCTTTCTCACAGTAATAATGAATTTCCCCTCTCAAAAATTTATTTTAGATTCTCCACTGCACTCTAAAACATTTCTAAATTTCACTGCCCATACAAATTTTCTAAAAAATATTCTTTAAATTGTAACAATGACAAAAGTGAAGAAGAATTATATATAATACAAATTTTAATTATTTAATTAAATAAATTGTTTATTGAGTGTTTTAAGTTGTTGTCTACATGAATTTTTTTATTTTATTATTTTATTTTGCATATAAATTACTTTACTCTATTATTAATTTTATCTGTTAATAATTTGTCATAATACTTATTGGAAGAACTGATAGGTGTTAGTATAGAAAGTAAACAAATAAAAATAATTCTATAAATTTAGATGCATTACATTAGTGGTAGTAGAGCATGATATTATTTACATCATGTTTCATTATTTACGTTAAAATTAAAAAATAACATTAAGTTTTTTTATAGATCTTTATAGCCTTACCATTATCAAGAGTATTTACATTATATACTAATACATTCAAACAATAAAAATTTAAATACTACAATTTTTTTTTTAATAATAAAATTGACAGTATTAATTCATTCCTTTAAATACATTACTAAGTAACTTATCTATTTATTTTATTAAATCTGAATATAAACTTAAAACTTACACATTCATCTGGGGATAATATCCCGAACTGTACCCATTTAACATTTTTTACGGGTATTTTAATGTTTCTAGACATTTTTCTTTGTTTTTTTCACTTCATAGTTAAAAGTATTTCAATAATTCAAAAACAGCCTCAGATAAAAATAGTTGTAGGTACACACATAAATGTATAAATACATACACAATGACAACTCCATGGAGGTATTAAGTATGAATATAGTTATTAATGATAGGTATAATCTAGGATATAGATAAAGTGATAACACTTCCATTGATGCAAAATTTTAAACGTGTCATGGCCCTTTCAACCTTCCTACCCAACTAACTTTACTATCATCTGACCATTTCTTACTGTATTACACATTCTGTTATCAACAATATATTTATATATATTATATTTAAATATAAATTTAATACTGTTATATCTATAGATTTGAAACTATTATTGTAAAAATAATATAATATAATAATAGGGGTTACGGAGATTGTCACGAACTGATAATGCTCCGACATTCATATTCTTCGATACTGTAAAAAAATCCTTTGAATACATTTACTCCGACAACAATTACTGCGAATACCTGGTTACAAAAATTTGGATTTTACTACGACAATGATTACTCCGAATAGGAAATTTAATTGATTGCTCCAAATGAAATTTGTTATTAAAAAACCCAGCACAGGGGGGTCGCGGCACAGTTATGACGTGGTATAGTTGGATCAAGTATAATGATATCTGACAGTAATTAAAATCACTATCAAAAATAAACGCTTCGATGCAAATCTTTAGATAGTGTTTAATTTTAAAAAAATTGGTGTTTTATTCCAAAAGCTACTTGATCTGCTGGTTCCTTATTAATATCTCGATTAAGATAAAGTATGTCGAATGAAAAAGGGTTTATTAAAAAATATTATTTCTCA